TGTGTGTGTGTGTGTGTGTGTGTGTGTGTGTGTGTGGCTGGCTCCAGTGTTCTCTGTGACACCCAGACATGCCAGGGAGAGCCTGCTCTGCCATCCAGCTGCTCCAGCCCCGGGCACGGGGTGGCAGCCGCTCTCCCTGGCATTTCGGCCTTCCTGTGGCATGTTTCCAAAGCTCCCCAGCTCCCCACCCTTTCCTAACCATTCTTGCCCCTCCCCCCGCCCCCCAGTCCCAGACACTACCTACCACCCACTGTGTAGCCCAGCCCTCACCTCTGCCAACCCCCCCACTCCCCATCCCCCTGCAGCTGGCGCGTCACCCTTTTCAAAGGCCTTTGCTGCAGTTTGGCTCGTTGTGCCTTGCAGGCTGTCGTGTCGTGTGCCTGTGCCCTGTAACAAGATTGAAACAGAATACGTGGAGGTTTGAGGCGCGGAGGCTGGTGTCTGCCCCCGCTTCCCCTGTGGGTGGGCCTCCAGAGGTGGATACTGACCTTCAATTCCTGGGGGAGCGATCATTTGGCCAAACACAATAAGCAGATGTTGTTTCATGCTCCAAAAAAAAAAAAAAGAGTCATGTCAAACCCCTTCACCCCCATCAACGAGCAAAAACTTTGTTTTTGTCAGGCTTGCAAAGCAAGCATTTACACTCCTATTCTCTGGCAATCCAAATGCCTTGACTTATCAGCCAGCAAGTTGTAACCTGCCCAGACTCGGCCCTGGGTTCAGTCCTTAGCGACGCCCAACCGGGCTGCAGAACCCAGAGGGACCTGGAATTCACCTTGCTGTAGGCGAATTCCAAGTATGCAGACTGCTGGCCTCTTAACCCTCCTACAAGTCCCCTCTCCCACTTGCAGCCTTGCCAGTGGCGTTTCCAGGAGCGGCCAAGGGCTTGGGGCAGAGGAGCTCAGCTCTGGGCATCTCCACCTCTGCCCGAGGAGCAGGGATGGAGGTGCCGGTGTGGGTGGGCTGGAGCAAGGGCTGGGCTTTGAGGTGGGGCGCCCCCCGAGGTCTGCTTCTCTTCCGTGGAAAAGGAGGAGCCCCAGGGCTGAGCAGCTGGCTGCGGGATAAAGTTCAGGAACTAGCAACAAGGCGCTTTGTCTTCTGTGGAGGCGGTGCATGCCTAGCTGGGTGGGGGAGCACTCCCCGTGCAGTGAATGGGTGCTGGCACTGGCATGACACGACACTCCTTCTCCAGCCTCTACTGACTCCCCCCTGCCTCCACCCCCCTCTAAGTTCACGTTTGTTTTAACTCTCCTACAGCGACCCGCACCTTGATAGGAACACTTTGCCTAGGAAAGGACTCAGGTATCGCGTCTCCTCCTTGCATCCATGCCATTGGTTGTGGCTTTGGAGCGTGGCTGTGTGACTCTCGTGGCTGGTAGGGGGTGATCCTGGGCTGGGGTCCCCTCCCCGCCACTGGTCATGGCAGCAGGACCGCGTGGATGAGTTCCTCACCTCTCGCCTCCCTGTCCTCGTCTCTCCATCTGTGGGCTTCTTGGCTTGAGCGGGGCTGTGCTTTCCGGGCTTAGTGCGGCGGACCATCTCGAAGCTCTCCCTGGGCAGCCCCCTAGAGCAGTCACCCCTGCTTCTGAGTCCCGGGTTCACCCCAGGCAGCACCAGGGCCATGCTGTCCGTGGGGCTGCCTTCAGAGAGAAGGGACCCAACCGACAGGGTGTTGGTTTGTTGAGAAGGACAACGATAGAGGAGAGACACCCCCCCCACACACACACACACAACATGAAGATACTCCACTTCTTTGGGGCCTCTGAAAAGTTGCTAAAGATAGACCCTTTGCACTTGTCTCAATATCTAATAAAAAACTGGATCAGCGTTCAATGCCCAACAAGACATGGAGAAAATGAAGACACAGCCAGCCAGCAGGGACCCTCCTTCACGTCCTCGTCATCAGTGGCTGGGGCCCCCTGGTAGTGCAAGCTCTGGTCAGAGGAGGTGCCCTGTGTCCCGCACGGCTCCCGCCATCTCCGTCACTTTGCCAACCAGAGGAATTGCCGTCTGCTGCCACCTCCCCCATGACCTGCCTGCCTCCTTGTTGCAGCTGTCATTTCTCCTGCTCATCAAACACCTCTGTTCTCTGTAGCTTCAGCTTTGCCCGCACTAAGCATTAAGTGCTTCTGCATAATGTGGAGCTGGGAATGAAATGTCTCATTGCTGTCGTGTGCATGTGTAGTTAATCGTGTGTAGCTCTTGAGGCTGAAAGCGTGTTGAGTGGTGACGGGCGGTAGGTATCAATGCTCCCATTCAAGAAAGAACCTCCGAGGAAAGCCTGGTCTCGGAATCTAAAAGGGAAAAATTCCCCAGCAGACACTCTTGGGTGGGAGGTCAGCACTGGGGACTCGGGGGAAGTTGGCAAGGCCTTGGCAGATGCTTGAATCCTGGTTGTTCTTTGGGTGCGTGGGACATTGATGCGCTGCCCTACTGTGGCCCCCCCCAGGAAGCTGCCCGCCCCGATCACTCTCATTTTGAAACATTTTGTACATCTGCATAGCAGGCTCTCGTCAACATCATGTCGCTCCGGCTTTTTCGAGTTGGTTTCCCCAAAATTCAGACTACGGACGTGTGACAGCGCTGTCGGGTGGGGAGGGATCGCCAACATTGAGTGCCCGTCCTATCCCACAGGGAAGTCATTCGGGAAGAAACATCCACTCACTCACTTTCTTCCTTCCTTCTTTCCTTCCTTTGTTCCTCCAGTTGAGGGGTTTATTAGGAAGTCAGTAAGTTGACTCTTCCTGCCCAGCCCATTTCCTGACCCAAAACCAACATACCTACAACTGTAGCCAAACCTTGTATCAAAAAACAACCCTCTATTGAAATCATGGGTCACCAACCCAAGTGCCTTTGTTTATAAAGCTGAGTGTACCCTGGCCACCTGGGTGGGCACTCTTAAAAATCTAGATCTTGCTTGTGGGGCTAAGAACAGAGCAAGGAAAAAAAGAACAGAGCAAAGGGTTCAGAATTAGACAAATGTGGTTTGGAGTCCACCACGGGCCCTAGGGCAGGCCACTCAGCATCCCTCATGAGAAACGAGACTAGGCACTCACGTCTACACGGCTGGGTAGGTGTGAGGCTTTAGTGAGACCAGGCCTATGACAAGCCCAGAACATTGCAGACAGTTAGTCATTACCACATATGCTTCCGGATCAATGAAGTGGGGGACGGCCAGGTCACCTCCAGACTCCCCATGAACCCCGATGATGTGGGCTTCCTCCCACGGAGCCCTGCTTAGTCTGCTAGGTGGCCTCCGTGGTCCAGGGCTGGCTTCTGCCCCACGCTGAGTCGGGGCCACTCTGCGGTGCTCTGGAATGCAGATGCTACACCTTAGCTGATTGAAAGGTCCTCGGAGCCCTCCCTCTCAGTGAGGGTGGTTGTCTCGGTGCTGTCACGGTGGGGGCTTCACTCAACCCCGTCATGAACCAACATGTTACTGACACGCCCCGTGACGGCTCTTTGGAGCCTTCACCAATATTGCCTCCTTTCATGGATTTCTCCCCAACGGAAAGGCATTGTCATTTCCCCCCAAAGGCGGCCAAAAAGGACCAAAAGACTTCGAGAAGCATCGTTTCTTTCAGGGCGATGTGTTGGTTTGCACGATCTTTGGATGTCCGTATATTGCTGACACTGTTATCGTCAGCCCTGTGGAGTTCACGTTCCTAAGTGTTGTTTGTAGTGAATCCCAGCTTGATTTCTGCCTGTCCAGGTATACTCCCACCTCCCAGCTTCGCACCCAAGAAGACGCGAAAGAATGGTTACGGTCCCATTCGGCAGGGGGCCTGCAGGACACCGCTGCCAATTCTCCCTTTTCCTCCGGCTCCAGTGTCACCTCGCCTTCTGGAACAAGATTCAACTTCTCCCAGCTCGGTGAGTAGCCACTTGCCATTAGCTGGGTTGATCTGCTGCCCGGGGCAGATCCATCCTGTGCTTTGAAGGAGGCCTGTGGTCCTAGTTCTGTGGCCACATTGCTCTCAGTACCTGATCAGCCCTCAGCCATGTAGTTTGATGAGAGGAACTTGATAGCAAAAGGAGAAAATAGTGAGGCTTTGGATGGGTACTCTGATTAGTAATTTGCTCTGCATGCTCCGTACAAGTAGGGGAATAGCATCAGAAGAGCCTATGTCCTAGGCCCGGGGGGGAGAAGTAGGCTGCAGCATAGCCTGTTTGGTTATCTTCATTGCCAGGGGAGTTAAATCTGGTTGCGACTGAGCAAGTCTTCTTGGAAACGCCTACTGCTGACATATTGCTTTGACTGGCACCGTGAGGAAGGGAGAAGGATTTGTGCACGTTCCCTGCTGGCACGTCTCTGTAGAGAGCCAAAACACACCCACCCAAACCCATATACGCGTGTGAAAGAGCTTTTGCTGGAAGTGTACTAAACCAGAATAGAAGATCAGATAGCAAGTGTCACCCACAGGTCCAATAAGGAGGGAACGTCAGTGCTAGCTAGAATGACCGAGGTCGATCACGTGACCGGCAGCAGGTCACAGGGTGGGAGCTGAGCCTTGGGGACAGAGACAGAACAATACCGTCCCCCGTCTCCCCCTGCTCTTTAGAGAGGCTGCCGTTTCCAAGCACTGATAGTAAAGTTGGTATCATTCCGGATGGGTGCCATTTGTAATCCAGTAAAGCTTAATTTAACTTAAAAAAAATTTTTTTTTAATTTTAACAAATGAGTTTTCAGTGATTACAGAGAGAAAGAGGAGACGAAGAGCAGGAGGGCTTAGAGATTGGTAATGAAGACCTGGGAGAAAAGAATCCAAAATAGCCTTGAGGATGAAGGGCTCCGTGTAGCATTCCTAACCGAGGGAGACTGGAGGAGGGTTTTTAGATCCCTCTCTGCAGCTCTGTTGCTCAGGGCTTCTGTCTAAGAGAACGCGTCTGAGCCACCAACTAAAAAGCAGATTGTGGAACCAAGTGTAATCGTCATACGTTAAATCTTCATTTTCAATTACCTTGATGGGTACCCCCGAAAAGTCTTTTGCATGATTAACATGGACAGCATTTTATTAGGGCCAGTTCGGGCTCAGGTAAACGCACCCCTGCGAGTTGAAACTCACAGTGACTCGACTCCAGAGGCAATGAACTCTGGGTTCACGTTGTCCTCTCCGGCCGTAACTCTTTGAAGCAAGAGATGCTTGTCACGCACAAATGCTTCTCCTCCGATCAAAAGCAGCGCTGGACTATTTTTGGGCTTTGGCTTTAAGAAGCATTGTTCCAGATGAGTCCGGAGAGTGATTAGCTCATGCCTGGAAGGTGACACTGGCTTGTCTGGACGTGACAAGTTGGAAAGCTGAGGCCCAGGGCCTTGCCTGGGAACGGAGCTGCCTCCCCCCTCTATTTTTAGCTGTGAGTTTGTCACTCAGAAGTTGAAGTGTCCACCTTTTGGGAAACAGGCCGGGAGAGAAACAGGCAGGAATGCATAAGGCTGACCATACGCAGGCTCCTCTTTGTCCCCATCCAGAAACCGACCAGAGACGTGACATTTCTAAATGTCTCATTCCGTTCCCTCCTTTTGTTCCAGCGAGCCCTACCACTGTCACCCAGATGAGCTTGTCCAACCCAACGATGCTGAGGACCCACAGCCTGTCCAATGCCGATGGGCAGTACGACCCGTACACTGACAGCCGCTTCCGGAACAGCTCCATGTCCCTGGACGAGAAGACCAGAACCATGAGCCGCTCCGGCTCCTTCCGGGACGGGTTTGAAGAGGGTAAGCAGGAGCCTTGCCTTCTCAGATGAACCTGCGGGTGGAGGACCAGCTCTGAGTGGGGCCAGGAATCCCACGGGCCATGCAGGTCAGGGCTCAGGGCACAGGTCTAAGAAGCCCTAACAGTGGAGTCTGAACCTTCATTTATCGGGGTGTGGGGTGAGGGGCGGGTAGCAATTGCCCTCTGGGACTTGGACCACAGCTTCTCGGTAACCGCCTGCACCTCGAGGCTCAGCCCCTGCTGGACCACCTTGTCTGAGCCAGTCACAGGGCCATTCCAGTCCTGGGTTTACATACCTGTATGCTTGGGGGCCGCGGGCAGCCGGGTCTCTCCCTTCGTCCCCAAACTTTCTATTTCTTTCCACAAGCACCAGTTTTTTTAGAGTTTCTTGCCTCTGATGATGGCCCCCTCTTTTGTCTTCATCTTGAGCTACTGGCGGTGAATCATTTGGGTTGGGTTTTCTGTGTTTTCTTCACTATACTCAGTTGTGGGAGAATTCCGTCGAGAAATTCCATCAGCCATCATCATCACTCGGGGCCTTGCTATGCCCTTTTGTTCCTTCCCCTGCGGTGTGAGGGAGGGGGTAAGCAGTCAGTCATGGGGGGACCCCAGCCCTTTCCAAGAGTCTCAGAGACTCTGGGGCTGAGCACTGAGCACTGCGCGTGAGAGGTCGCTCCCCCACTTCTCTTCAGGAGGTGGCGGTGGGCAGGTCACTTCACTTCCCTGTGCCGCTTTCCAACCAATAAAATGCGAAGAATCATGATGGTACCCACCTCATGGGGAATTAAATAGGACAATGCACGTAACTGTTAGCACTTTGACAGTCATGGCGTACAGGCCCCAGCCTGTGCACGCAGCTTGAGCCACTGGGAGCAGTACCCCACCAGAGTCTGGGGGGCCGGGGAGGAGGGCGAGTTGGGGGAGCTTTTGGCCCGTGATGGAGCAGCCTGTGAGAGGGGGAGCGTCAGTCCCTCCACCCTGTCCGCCCAGCCTCCTCCCCGTAGGAACAAACCAAGTTGCGATGGCGGGAGAACCCCCGTCAAGAGCAGAAGCAGCCGGGCCGGTGTGCTTCTTCACAGTCTTCCCAAGCGCTTAGTTGCAGGGTGGCTGCCTGCTGGCTACTCTTCTCGGCAACATCAGCCTCTTCACCCTGATTCATGTCTCGTTTGCATCCAGCGAGCACACGCAAGTCCGTAGATCCATATATGGGAACCTGCTGGGACGGAGAATTGAGGGGGAGTCCATCCAGAGTTCCTGAGAGTGTTGGAGTATTTTTTGGGGTAGATTTAAGAGCTTAATTATGTGAACCCTCGGAGCTGTAATGTGCTGAATAGATTAACTAGAAAGTGAAGGACTCGGCAGTTGGCCTTGAAGTTTTTCTGTGTACGTGTGCCGACCATGCAAGCCCGCAGCACATGTCCTAGCCTCCCCGGGGATGCCTGGCCTATGGAGTCTGTCCTGTGCCACTTGCATGTGCTCCACCACGTGTTGACCTGCCGTAACCGTGCGCAGCACTGAACTTGTCCAAGCAAGCACACGCTGCCTTATAAAGGCCCGGGACCATTAAAGTATCATTAGGTAGCTGTTATTTACTCTACCTGGCACCAGACTCTCAGGCAGCACGGCTTTGGGAAATCTGGGCTGTCCACATGACAGTGACAGAAAGAACCGGCCCACAAGCAGCGTCTAGACGTTTGTTAACCTAACGATTCTCGCTGACGCACGAGCCACGAATCAGATCTGCCGTGGAAGGAGCAGGGACAGGGGCGGATCCACTGTTAACTTACAGCTTTATAACTCCACCTGCTGGGAAGTTTGGCATTAGATTGAATGTATTTCTTCCGAGGATGGGATATTACAAACACAAAATAACCCTACTTCCATTCTGATCCGCAGTGACCCCCATGGGAAGGGCAGAGTAGAACTGCCCTTGTTGGGTTTCTAAGACTGCACGTCTTTACCTCTACATGTTGCCAACACTGGTGGGTTTGAACTGCCGACCTTTTGGTTGGCAGCCGAGCACTTTAAGCACATTGCTACTAGGGCGCATAAGAACAATGGAGGGCTTATTTAATGTGGTGGGGTTTTTCATTCCACTGGGTGAAGAAAGACTTTTTATTCCCGTTGAAGTTATACATTCCCGATGTATACTTGTGTGGGGGTGGGGGTAGAGGAGGAGGGAACCACCTATCATCTTTGAACCAGATACTCCATTGCTGGGGTCCAGAAGCATTCCAAGGCATGGTGACCCTAGAGGACAGAGCAGAACTGCCCCCAGAGGGCCCAAGCCTGCAGACCTCGTAGTTACCGTGGTCAACTAGGTGCATCCTGTGCCATAAAGCAGGATAGGAATTGCCGGGATTTAGTCCAATACTCGAGCCAGGTTCCTGTGTGGCTTAATAGCACTTTCCTTTCTGGGGGGAGTGGGACCTGTCAATATGCGGATGAGAAACCTGCCTGGCCCAGATGGCAACCTTCAAGTGATTTCAGGTGAATGCATTTTTACCAAATGCATTATGCCATCTAAAAGTCAACTGTCATGGCTCGCACTGAGGGGAATGCTCTAGGCATTTTAAAACAGAGGCCCCGGGAGAGCTAAGCCAGCCCCTAGTGGCTTCAGCGGGCTTTGGGAAGAGCTCCCACAGCCTGGAACACAGGAGCGGCCCCTCCCCGTTCATGTGCAGGCCTCGGGAGCAGAGCAGCTTAGTGACAGACAACTCCGGTGTGGCGCTGGCTTGGGTGTCTAGGCTCTGGGTGCAGATGTAATTGACCCCCCATCAGTGTTGCCTCCCTAGGCAAGGACCCCTCCACAGTTGGCAGTGCCATCCTGGGCACGGGGCTCACTGCTGCTCTTCCGCTGCTGCCCAGGCACTGACTGAAGGGGCCTCAGCCCTTTGGAGACACATTGCTTCATTCTGCCTAGTGCGTGGCGGCACACGTGGCTCTGTGGCCTTGAGTGTCTCATATGCATTTTGCCACATGACTCAGGCTGGGGGTTGGCACCGCTCACACGGTCACCTCTGGAAATCCAGGAGTCTGTTTCTTTAGACCATAGCCTTGCAGCAGCCACTCACCAAGTGAGTGGAGTGAGCTACAGAGAAGCCTGCCAGATGTGCTGGCCGCTGCCTGCGGCACTGCCCTTGCCCTGAGATGTGCCCCTGAGGTGGGGAAAAGGCCTCAGGACATAGTCTCCTCCAGTATGTTTGCAGACATGGGATTGAAGGGTGGCTACATGTTACCTCCCTCCTCCTGCCTGGCCTGAAATCATCATGTATGCCCAATCACACTGTCATGAGGAGTTGTGTTTAACTAACTCACCCTTGGAACATGAGACCAGTAGACATTATGACCTCAGTTAATATGTGAACATATTAACACTAGAAGCCGTGATAGGCCATTAAATACCTTAAACGGACTTTCTTTTTAAAATCATTTTATTGGGGGTTCGTACAACTCTTATCACAATCCATACATCTATCCATTGTGTCAAGCACATTTGTACATTTGTTGCCATCATCGTTCTCAAAACATTTGCTTTCTACTTGAGCCCTTAGTATCAGGTCCTCATTGTCCCCCCTCCACTCCCCACCCTCCCTCCTTCACGAACCCTTGATAATTTTTAAATTATTATTATTTTGTCATGTCTTACACTGTCCAACATCTCCCTTCACCCACTTTTCTGTTGTCCATCCCCTAGGGAGGGGGTTATATGTAGATCCTTGTAATCAGTTTCCCCTTTCTCCCCCACCTTCCCTTTACCCTCCTGGTATCGTTACTCTCATTATTGGTCCTGAGGGGGTCATCTGTCCTGCATTCCCTGTGTTTTCAGTTCCTATCTGTACCAGTGCACATCCTCTGGTCTAGCCGGATTTGAAAGGTAGAATTGGGATCATGATAGTAGGGGGAAGGAAGTATTAAAGAACTAGAGGAAAGTTGTATGTTTCATTGTTGCTACACTGAACCCTGACGAGCTCATCTCCTCCCCATGACCCTTCTGTAAGGGGATGGCCAGTTGTCTACAGATGGCTTTGGGTCTTCACTCCACACTCCCCCTCATTCACAATGATAATGATTTTTGGCTCCTTGATGCCTGATCCCTGATCCCTTTGACAACTCAAGATCACACAGGTTAGTGTGGTTCTTCCACATGGGCTTTGTTTATCTTCAAGCCTTTAAGACCCCAGACGCTATATCATTTGATAGCCAGGCTCCATTGGCTGTCTTCACCACATTTGCTTATGCATCCGCTTTGTCTTCAGCAACCGTGCCAGTTTAATAGAACAAAGTGTTCTTGCATTGAGGGAGTACTTCAGTGGAACCCCAATGTCCTTCTGCTACCTTAATACGAAACCTATAAATATATGCCCGTAGATCAATTTCCCCATCGTAAACTCCCTTTGTTATGGTGTGTGGGGCAAAAGAGTCCTGGATGAAGAAGGTGGAGGCCGAGGCCCATGCACAGGAGGATGTGTGTATCTGATGGTGTAGGGAGAGCCTGTGAACCAAAGGCACCTGCTGAGAACAGGGCAGGGGTGGCAAGCCATGAGCCACCTGGGCCCAGGGGCGGGAGGAAGCCTGCCCAGGTGATGGCCAGGGAACAGTAGGAAGGTGCAGGGAGAAGACATACTGAGCTGGTCCTAGAGATGATGTGTCCTAAAAACACGCCACCGCCACCGAGGCAGGAGAGTGTTCTGCAGGGCATATACACAGGAGAGCGGTGTGGGAGACGCTCCTTCTGTTCAGACGACCCCCCACCGCCAGGGTGGCAGGGATTTATAAAGGCAGTGGGTGCGGTCCGGAAGTCAGTTGGAAGGGTGTGTAGACGGTGTAGATGGTGTAGACTGTTCGGAGGAGCTGCTCATCTCATTTGGCAGGTGGCTTCTGCTGACTTGGATCCAAGTTCACTTCTTGGGTGGTACTGGATGCCATTTAGTATGCGTGGAGCATTCAGATCACTGGCTGCAGGGCAGCGTGAGTGGGGAGAGGTTCCTTCCACCTATCCTCAGGAAAGCTGTGCCCAAGTCAAAGGCCCTCGATCTCTCCGTGGGAATATTGTTGTCTTTCAAACAGGTTGCCACGAGATTCCCAGGAAAATGCCACCAAGGAGTGCAGTTTTCACAAAGAGAAGGGAGCCAGAATCCCTGCCTAGGGGAGGTCGTGCTGTCAAGCTACATGCGAACACATCATTCTGTGTCATGCTGACCAGGGACCCTAAGGGCATGCTAAAGGGGCTCCGAGCCAAAGAGTGGGCATTCAGACAGAAAAGGGACAGGGCTTTCTTGCCTCGTCACGTGTAGCATGATACACTAAAATTAAATGGAGAATCCTGATTATTCTGAACGTGGTTGCTAAACAGTTTCTGCTACCTGACCAGGATGAAGTCACTTGGCTCATAGCTTCTTACGTTCAAAATAACCAGCTCTTTTTTTCTCCAGAGACAAGTAACAGTCAATCATAGGGCATAAAATGTACACGTACATAGGCACAATCTCAACCCTAAGGGAATATCTTTTCCCCTTTATTCCAAAGATGGGAATAAAATATGTGCAACAGTGCTTTCAAATTACAGGTTGCCTCGGGTAATGGGATTATGAGTCACACGGGTTAAGGTGGTGCATATGCATCTTAGCACTTCTCTGTACTTGAATATTTTTATCCTGTGATCATGTGTTATTTATGTAACACACGGGGCGGGGGGGAAAAGAGAGTGGGGAAGTAGACTCCCGGAGCAGGTTCTCCCAACCTGGCACTCGCCATGCTCAGACCAGGAAGGGCGGACTCGCGGTGAGATAAGGTGGTTCTGTGTTCCTGTCGATTGTGCCGGGAACTGACGCTCCATGCTGCCTGCCTGCCTCTCCTGGTGCCATCGCGGCGAGCTGTGCCTTCACCTTGTCTTCCTTGTTTTGTTTCTAACAGTTCACGGATCCTCACTCTCCTTGGTCTCCAGCACATCGTCGATTTATTCCACAGTGAGTATCAAGAACTACCACTTGATGGGGGTTCCTTGATCAAGGGTCTCAAGAATTGGGTACACGCCGCCCTCCAATGGGGGCACGTCTGTCCTAAGGGTATCACCTAACGAGGGAAGGAGATTTGAGTTGATCATCAATTACCTGCTGATAAATTCGAGTGATGGTGCGTTAGAACACATGAGCGGCCCTGCTGCCCTGCTAGTGGACTTGGGGTGGGGAGCCTCTCTGGGCCTCAGTGTAATTATCTACAAAGTAGGAAGGGTAGCAGTCCCTATCGTATAGGGCAGGGCTCCTCAAACTTTTTAAACAGGGGGCCAGTTCACTGTCCCCCAGACCCATTGGAGGGTGGGACTATAGTGTTAAAAAAACTATGAACAAATTCCTATGCACACTACACATGTCTTATTTTGAAGTGAAAAAACAAACGGGGCAGAAACACCCGGTGGGCCGGATAAATGTTTTCGGCAGGCCACATGTGGCCTGCGGGCCATAGTTTGAGGACCCCTGGTATAGGGAATGAGTCCCTGTGATACAGTGCTTAAGCACCCGCTGCTCCCTGGGAGAAAGATGGGGCCGCCTGCCTCCCAAAGATGACTGTCTCAGAGCCCTAGAGGGTCATTCTGCTTTGTTCAGTAGCCCCTGTGAGTCAGGACTGACTTGGCAGCAGTGGTGCCCACGGGTCTATGGGAGGACCGCATGTTCTAAGAATATGCCAGACATTGCTTGAAGTCGGCCTGTAATTTGAATTACCAGCCCGATGTTAACTGTCCTGGAGAAGTCATGGCCAGCCCTCGGAGCAGAAGACGTCTGAGTGGCCACATCTGGCCTCAGACTTGCTGTCTGGGTGGACAGGGAGCCGTAACTGAGCTCTAGGAGAGCTGCTGAATGAACCTGGAGTAGCTTCACCGGGGACTTCCTGATGGACAGAAGAGCAACCCGATGGAGGCAAGATGCAAAGCACACGCTGCTCCAGGGTGCTGCTGGGAACAAGGGCCCAGCCCGAGAGGCGGTGGGCACAGGTTTAGCCGTGCGGGTAAAGGACTGGCCTTGCTTGGTGATGGCAGCATTTAGAAGCAGGGCTGGTCATGTGTGGGTGGGTCAGCCTGCCCCCAGGCCTCTGGTAGCCTGTCAGAGAGGGAGGGGGACCCTGACGTCAGGGCGCATCTTTCAGGGAGCCTCCCTGAGGATATGGTTTCATTGACGAACAGGAGACGGGCTGGTGAAGACCAGAGGCTCTGGAGCCAGGCTGCCTTGGATCGACCCCAGCTCCACCACAGACCAGCTGTGACCGTGGGACTAAGTGCTCTGTGCCTTTGTCTCCGTTGCGAAAAAGAAGGCAATAGTCGTGGTTTTTGCACAGAGGGTTACTTTGAGGGTTGAATGAATAAGGCATGGAAGGCACGCACTAGGTCTCTCACAGGCATCACTCCCTAAGTGCTGGTTAGTTCCAGCAGAGTGTGAGCACCGTGAGGGCAAGCCTGTGCGCTCTTCCAGCCTAGCCTGGGCTCATACACAGTGGCTGGCTCATAGGAGGAAATGGGAATGCTTGACAGGCAGATGGATGGACAGAGGGATATTCTCCGGGAGGAAAGAGTGGGCACTAAGGACATACACCCCAATCTTCTGAAAATGCTCATTTGATGAAATTGTCCAGCGGTGTGAGCTGGGACTAGGCACTTAACCCCTCTGCGTCTCACAAGGCAGACAAAGAGCCTACTTGATGAGATGTCTGCATGGGTTCAATGCTTTGGCCCCAGTGCGTTTCAAGACTGGTTGCTATTGTGAGCAGCCAGCCTAGGGGGGAGGAACAGGAGGAAGGGCACTGGGGCGAAGGCCAGGAAGAGGGAGGTCACTTAGGAGACAGCTGCCCACCTGTCTCAGCCAACGGCCGGGAGACCTAAAGAATCACTCCCTTCTGTTCTTCTAAACGGTTGCAGGAATAGGCAGGTGTCGGGTGCTTATTTTTGTTAAATAATGGTTTATCACAAGTCAAATGGATGAGGATTCCAGAGAGGTCCCAAGGACACAATGGGGGCCTTACTGATGGGCACTCACCTGCCTGGTTGCTCCTCCACCCTGCAGTGCAGGTGGTGAAACGACCCCCATCGTTTCCAGGAATGAGTGGTGCGTGTCTCCTGTCTGGGCCCCAAGGAGAGGAAAGCTGTTCTCTCTGCAGCAGAGTTTGCCCACCCATTCATCTTCCCCTTATGGGAGGAGAGCGAGGTCCTGTGTAGTCTCAGGCTGAGTCCCCACTGTCACAGGGCCCAGCGTGGAAGGCCATATCAGGATGAAGAACTGCAGGCTTTGCCCTTTGCCATATGCCCCAGGGGCCTAGGTAATCTAAGGAACAGCAGGTAGGGCATCAGGAAGACAAGGGTCACCTGTACTCAGCCACCCTTGCCTCGGAGGAGCCCTGCTGGTGTGGTGTTTACCAGTTGGGCTGCAATTGGCAAGCTCAGCAGTTCAAAACCACCAGCTTGCCCTGTGTGAGAAAGACGGGGCTTTCTCCTCCGGCGAAGAGTTAGTCTCAGAAACTCACAGGGGCAGTTCTGCCTGGTCCTGTGGGGTCGCTGCGAGTCAGCATGGACTCGGTGGCAGGTGAGTTGACTGGGGGAGCATTTTGCTTCAGATTCCTCGGAGCCAGAGCGAGAAGAAATGAGGATGCGCTGCTGCTGCCCACGGTTCTCCCCAGTCCCAGCAAGGTTACCAGATACCATAGAATGTCCACTTAGGTTCAGGACTCAGGTCCACAGCAAGTAACAGTTTAGAATGCCAATGCCCCTAATGTGTGATGGGGTAGACTTTTACTAAAAACAGGACTCCACGTCTCACAAGTGCCTTGCCCGATACCCGCCCCGCCTCCCCATGAGGAGGACCACTCTGATTCCTTCTACTCGCTCAACGTCTTGTGATGTTTGGATTTGGCCCTTTCTGGTGGGACAGGCGAACTAGAACAGTTTTTCTGCAGAAACCCTCTAGGGAGACTGCTGTCGGAGCCCAGATATGGGTTCCCCTCGGGTTGGACTCTGCTCTTGGGTGATCCTCCACGGGTCTAATTCTCCTCCCGTTTCCTTTACAGCCAGAAGAGAAGTGCCAGTCGGAGGTAAGGGTTTCTTCTGTCGACACTTCTGTGCTTCGTTACCCAGCTCAACCTGGGATAGACTACTAAAGGCAAGCGGCTCTGACCCTTTCTCACCTGCAGATTCGCAAACTGCGGCGGGAGCTGGATGCGTCCCAGGAGAAGGTTTCTGCTCTGACCACTCAGCTGACAGCCAATGTGAGTCCAGACACGGGTGGAGCACGTCTGTCTGTCTGTCTGTCTGCAGCCACTGCTGCCTCTGAATGTTCCTGAAGGCCTCCTGCCTTCACAACACAGAGGGAACACGGTGTAATGGAAAGAACACGGTGTGTGTCCGAACTGGGGCGGATGTCGGCTCTGTGAATCATCTCGGAGCCTGTCTGTCCCATGGAGGGGGCTGATAATACCCCTCAGGATTGTCACGTGAGCACTCAGAAAATCCCATCTGAAGAAAAAAGACGGGAAAAAAAGAACAAAATCCAGATCTCCTCAAGGACCCGCCAGCTGCTCTGTAATTATCACACACAATTACATGTCCATGTGGCACTGCCAGCCGGCATTCACCTCAGCGTCTGCTTGAGTGCTAGCGCTGCCGAGGCGCTGTAGGTTCAGTGTAGAAGCAAGCACAATCGCTGTTCCCTTAGCATCCCACCTGTGGTCCCGCAGAGCCCAAAGCAGCCCTTTTGTTGCATCCTGGTGACTGTTAGGATAAAGGGGGAAGGGTGTGGAGATACATCGGAGGAGTACCTAGTTCAGTCTGGGGACGGGCCGTCAGGAAGGCCCCCTGAAGGAGGTGACATCCGAGTGGAGTTCTGATACTATCGTGTTGAGGGAGGCTGCATGGAAGCCCCAGGTGATCGATATCGGTGGGTTTGGAAGCTGCAGGTAGCTTGGCGTGGTTGGGATCTGGAGCTTAGTGGTGGAGGGATGAAGGACTTCAGGGGCATGGGAGAAAGTAAGGGTCAGTCGGCCGAGTGTCTTGGTCGTGGGGCTGAGTTAGGGCCTCTTCCTGAGGTCGGCCGTGAGTTTGGAGGGCTCAGACTTGATCTGTGGAGGGTCCTGGCTGTGAAGTGGAGGGTGGGACTTGAGGGCCCACGTGCAGCGCAGTCCTGTACGGCAGGCCACTGCAGAGCTGCAGGTGCCCAGCCTGAGATGCCGCAGACAAGCCTCTGGGAGCCTCGGCCGTAAACCAACCTGCCAACCTTCGCAGAAAGCCTCTCTGGAGGCTGTGTTTCCCATGCCCAGTCAGTTCTCAGACTTGATCATTGGCCTGGAGCTTTTACCCAGCATTCTCTGTGGGGAGCCCCTGGATGGGTGTGCGCATGCACAGTTGTTAAAGCAAGAGGCTGGAGGGTGGAGAGCCTCAGAAGAAAGACCTGGTGCTCCATATCCCAGAGGCAGCCGTCGAAGACTTCCGGAGTGCTGTGGCCATCAGACACGTGCGGGGTGCCTTTGAATCAAAATCAACTGCAGGGCGGCTGGTGGACCTGGTTTGAGCCCGAGGCCCCTCAGGAAGGCAGCACAGTGGTTAGGGTCTGCTCCTGTCAAGCCCCGGGACCCTGTCGGGCATGTCTCCTCTGTCTGTCCCCTCGTCAGAATGGACTGGGCAGAAGCCCACCCCAGGAAACCCCGTTCTCTTCGCATCTGCGTGGGCAGTGGCTAGCCCAGCACTCGCGCCTCCCTCACAAGTTCCGTAATTGTCAGCTGCTGTCACCGTTATTCCTGGACTCCCCTGGTGGCGCTGTTGGCTAGGCATTGGACTGCTGGCCCCATGGTCAGCACCTCAAAGCCACCAACCCCTCCTCAGGAGAGCGCTGAGGCCATCTGCTCCCGTGAGGATGTACAGTCTCAAAAGCCCTGGGGGGGGTGGGGGGGTGGGGGCTACGTGTGAGTCAGGATCGGCGCCGTGACAGTGGGCTGGAGGTCAGCAATGTTGTGCCCCCCCTCTCCCCAGCCCCCACTTCTGGAACACTGCCTTTTTCGGCATACTCGGCTCCTGTTTTGTAATTATTTTCCTTACCCCTCCCCACCCCTCCAGTGATGCTCCTGAAAGCCCAACAGGATGGATGTGAGCACCGCGCACTGGGGCTGAAATCCTATCCAGAAAGGGGCAGCAGGGTTCTTACCTGGGTTGATGCTGCCTTCCTTTGCACATTCACAGCCAGGGCGGCCCCAGACCCACTGGCCAGGGGCTGCTGTGTGAAGTCCACGCGTCTCAGGCCTGCCACCAAGCCCCTCTCCTGGTAGAGAAGCCCAGCCCTCTTCTCATTCACTGACTTACGTGAGCTCTGCGTCCTCCCTGCAGTGGCCCCGCACTGCCCCTGGGCCCATTTGGGCCCTCTAGTCCAGCAGGGTCAGAGGGAGAGAGAACCCTTCTATTCTTCCACAAGTGTGTGTTTGCCCCTCACAAAGGCCATGGAGTCTAGCATTGTTGTAAAGTAAATGTTTAGCCTTACCACACACCACAGGCAGCACTAGCCTGTTTTATTATTGGCTGTCTCTCACAGACCAAGCTGTGTTTGTTTTCGTAGGGCAAACACCTCACAGCCCCCTTCCCGGGCTGTTTTTCCACCACTCATGTGTGTTTTCCCTGGGAATGTGAGAATGGCGATGGCGGGGAAGGTGGCTGTGTGGCTGGGCACCCGGCTCAGGACGGGGCTGTGCTCCTGACACACCCACACCCACCCACCCACCCCTGGGTTTGCCGGCAAGATGAGCCCCTGTGCTGCGAACTGGCTGCTCCAAGCAAAGGCGCTTTCTCCTTAAGCTGGCCAAACCCCTTCCTCGGCAACAGGCTTCCTGGGTTTAGCGCTCTGTTTTTGCTTTAAATTGGAGAGAAAATCGGGAGGCTGAAATAGAATCGTGGTGGCAACCAAGCACAACAGGGAAACAAATAGGAAGGTAGTCATTGAAACGTGTCTGTGTCTGTTTGTCGTGCGGGCAGTTACCGTGGTCCCTAGGGCCTGCCCTGTCTCCTCCCTCTGTAGCTGTCTGCAGTAGATTGGCTGTGGACACACCGTGGTCAGTTGGGCAGATGAAAGCCTATGCATTTATCTTAAGGTGCAGGGCATTTTCTCAGTTTTTAGCGAGGAGAGGGTGTGCATGTAGAAAGAAAACAGCCGTTCTATTGAGCCTACGCTGAATGATCCCTGTCTGATGACGTCTCTGGTCCACGCCTCCCTGAGCCTCCCCACAAGCAGGGCAAGACTTCTCCCCCAGCCCTCTCTTCTCCCCTTTCTCTTCACGGTGTGCTCAGCCCCCACATCCTCTGGAGCTCTGTGGCCCAACAGAACCACACTCTCCCCAGAGCCCTCTCAGGTGCCCTCGGCTCATCCTGCTTCCCGGGGTGGCCCCCACCCCGTCTCCTTTCTAGGGCCGTCTCTTCTCTTTCTCTCCCTGTGTTTTCAGAGAACACATCTCTTGTTCCCACACATCACGTGCTGATTCCCAAACTTCCTCCTGCCCTTCACGTGCCCTTCGTTCAGGGGTGGGACCCTTCTGAACAAGCGTCTAGAGCCCTTTCCCCCACGGTGGCATGCCCCATGCGCACAGTAATCCCAGGAGAAACAGAAGAAGCCTCGAAGGCAAGAAGATTGCTCAGAAGTGTGAAGAGTCTAAGGAAAGAGGATTAGCGGCAAGAGCCTCTAACGCCAAATCCTAATGCCCCCCCACGGTTCCGGGCACCGTTGATTTGTTTCCAGCTCATAGCGACCCCATGTGACAGAGCTGAGAAGTGCCGCCTAGAGTTTCCCAGGCTGTCATCTTTACAGGAGCAGGTCTCCAGGCCTTTCCCCTGGGCGCCCGTAGGGGGGTTTGAACTGTCCACCTTTCCGTTCGCAGCAGAGCATTGCACGGCACTGCCCCCAGGCTCCTTCTCGATACCAAGCCAGGATCCTCCTTTTCCGCCCTCCATCCCTTCCCGTCCTGCATGTCCCGAGGGACTTTGTGAGGCCAGCCAGGGTGCGGGCTCCCCGGCTCTTCTTTGGTTCGGGTCCGTCCTGCCTGCTGCTCACATGGCTACTCTGGGGCCCTCCAGAATCCCACTTTCTCAGACGGGCTTGGCTGACTGAGCGCTCTCTTCTCTGGATTTCTAGACACTGTTCAGCACAGTTGTTTGGGGAGGGGGCGGGGGGACAGACCATGAAAGTCCATTCTTTATTCTTGGTTTTAACAGTATCATCAGGATCCTCATGAACCAACCAGGATTTCACTCTGTTTGGTGCTATGTCCGAAGGAGAGGCTTAGGGCTCGGTCACAGAGTGCTCTGAAAGACAAGAGTACGGGCAAGCCAGCGACACAGTTCTCCATCCTGAAAGACACGTTTTGTTTTGTTTTTCAAAGCAATTTAACATCTCGAAAAATTGGATGTATTTATTACTTGTAACTGGTGGCATTTTTTCTCTCTTTCAAAAATATTCAAGACCTTGGCACACGGGATGCTGTGTTCTAGCAGCAGAGTGCACATGTGCAGGGGACCTCGGGGAAGCCGTTCTTACTCCCTGGGGAAGCTTGGAGGGTTGTTCTCCAAGGAGGTCACCAATTGGCCTCACAGTGGCTTTTTTATTAGCTGGGGCGATCACACACACAATACGCCAACCTCTTGGTTCAGTCGTTCTACAAACATGCTCTATGGAGTGAGCCTCGTGGGTGAGCTTGACGCTTTGCGAGCACAAGGGCATCTTAGGATACAGTGGGGGAGCCAGGCATAAACCCACCCTCAGAAGGCCATGTGCATTCTGAACTGAACTCCGCTATCGCAAAACACAGAGCAGAAGTCAGTGAGGATTAGGGAGCCTGCCCAGCCCGGGGGTGTCAGGGAGGCAGGAGCGGGGATCTCCTGAGAAGAATGTGTAGAAACTAGCCAGTCAGGCAGGGGTGTAGCAGGAAGAGCATTCCCGGTGGAAGGGAAGGTATGTACAAAGGCCCAGAGGTCGGAAAGAGCACAGGGCGCTGGAAGATGTGAAAGGCAGGGGCAACTGGGTCTCAGAGGGATAGGAGAGGGATTCTAGAGGAAGTTGAAGAAGCACAGGAAGAGGGGTCTCAATGAGGTGGCCCCATAAGGAGTTCAAGTTTGAGCTGTAAGATCTAGTGCCGTGTAGGCACTTGCACCTTGCAAGGCATCATCACCATGGCTGTGTCTTCTCCCCACAGGCTCACCTTGTGGCAGCCTTTGAGCAGAGTCTTGGAAACATGACCATCAGACTCCAGAGTTTGACCATGACAGCTGAGCAAAAGGCAAGGCAGAAAGGATGCTTCATTGGTGTTGTTGATGTTTGCTTATTGTGGTTTCTCGTCCCTGACTGGGGTTAACAATAAACCAAAAAATAGTATTTCCTTTCACTTCAGATAAATGTGTAGCGTTTAGTGTACTCCTCAACTCTGAGAATCTTTATCATACCGTTCTTTTAATGGCCTAATTTCTACCTGTTGGAAACTGAGCACTTAAGACCAAGGTGTGGTTGAGCCCTTGACCCCCACCCCACCCCCACCCCATCCTTGCTGCGAGCTAAGGTCTTCATTCTCTGCAGAATGATTTTAGGATTCTTTTTCTTTTTTCCTTCTTTTTTTCGATTTTAGGATTCTTACTGTTTGTTTTTTGTCTCCGTTCCACAGGATTCAGAACTGAATGAGTTAAGGAAAACCATTGAGCTACTTAAGAAACAGAATGCAGCCGCCCAAGCTGCTATTAATGGAGTCATTAACACACCAGAGCTCAACTGCAAAGGTAAAGTCGCAGAAATAGCCCTTAGACCAGGGCTTTCCACGATGACTAGCAGGTCAGGCCCAGGCAGGATACTGAAGTGGAAGCAGACCTAAATGTGTCCAGTGTGAGGACACTAGCGTGGTGGCAGAAAGGGAGACGTCCAGGCCACAGCCCTGGATAGGGCGACACAGAAGAGGGCCAGTGCTCGCTTCCAGGTGCTTGATGCAGCAGACCAGGTCGTTGCCAGGACCATGGAGAAGTGAGAGCACATTCCCAGCATTGAGGTCGGCATCACCGCTGAGCCAGGCGCCATTGTGTCTGACTCTGCTGCTCAGGAGCACTGGTTGCCGTTCACCACACGTTACCCTTGTTTTCTAGAAGGAAGCTTCAGGTTCCTGTAGGGTGTTGATTCCTGATCTTTCCTGTTCTTGTTCCAGAACACTTATATCTAACAAGTCCAGGGTCCATTCACTTTGACGTCACTCACCATGGCTGAACCAGGAAGAATAGATTTGAAGCACTATTTCAGGCAGACAAACCACCTGCCCCTCCTTAGGACCTCTCCTCCAACAACACCATGATGCAACTGCTAGAGGACAGGGACTTGTACCTGGTTTTAACCGGGTTAGGCACTTTTAACCGAGGGACTTCTGGCCTCTGTGCACCTGGGAATCCCAGCCATCCTCTCCTCAGGTGTGTCGGAGATGAAAGGAAATATGTTTCCATTGGCCAGTGTCAAAGTGTTTCACGGCCCTAAATTTCACGAACACTCATTTTTTTCCATATTGATGTTTGATCCACTGACATGACTTTATTTTTTTTTCCCCCAAAAAGATTATTTCTGAGTCAATTTTTTTGCCCGTGTATATTTTAAACTTTTGTCCCGGGGGAAAATGTGGGTGTATGGGCTATTGAGCTCTGGCCATAGCAATAGCAAAAGTAATAATAATAATAATGGACCATGTATGGGACGCGTACTATGGTCTACTCACGATGGTGTTTTAAAGATTTGACGATCTATTTCCTCCCCCAAACAATGCTGTGAGCATGGCTTTCCTGCGGGCAATGCATTTCAGAGGAGAGTCACTTGCCATAGACCACAGAGTTGCATGGCGCAAGGCTGCGTGACTCCAGAACAGGGGTCCTTAAGAATAAACTCCGGGGTCCGGCGTACTCATGAGGAAAATGATCTCTAAACCTGTTTCTGGACTGCTGCTACCAGTGTGGCTGCAGATATCAGGCCTCCTGAAAGAAGCGCAGATGGCATTGAAATGGGTGGGGTGAGCCAGGGCTGGCCAGGCAGAGTGGAAGGACAAGAACACTCCTGGCTGAAGGAGGGCCGTGGAGAGAAGAGCTTGGCATTTTCAAGGGGCTGAAAGAAGGCCAGTGTGGCAGGTGCAGAGAGAGAGACTACCAGTCACAAAGGTGACTGTTACTAGGATCCAGAACAGAGCATTTTCTGCCATCGAAGGCTCAGTGTTTCCCAGGTGGAAGGGAAGGTATGTACAAAGGATGTAGCCCAAAGGATGGCAGTGAGGCGCTAACCCCAGATGCTAAGTCAGACAGACCGCTCTCACAGTATGCCTGTGAAAGATCACATCCTTGAAACACAGCAATCCGTGGGGGCTGTGAGTCAGACTCGACTCAACTGCAGCTGACAGCAAGGCTGAAGAGAGTGGCCTTGGTGAGACTTCTCTTAGCGCCCTCTGGGGAGGGCGGGCGGAAGGGAGGACAGGCAGACTCCTCGCTTAATGGACTAGAGAAGGCACCTTCTGAGGCCTCCCAAATCGAAGATAAGCAGCAGGTAATGTCTCAGGGGAAGGAAGCCTAGGGCCCCCAGCTGTGTGAATGAAGGGGCAAAGGGGGACTGACACCCCGGACGCTTGCCTCTGGTCTGCAGGAAACGGCTCCTCCCAGGCTGCAGACCTCCGCATCCGCAGGCAGCACTCCTCCGACAGCGTCTCCAGCATCAACAGCGCCACCAGCCACTCCAGCGTGGGCAGCAACATAGAGAGTGATTCCAAGAAAAAGAAGAGAAAGAACTGGGTACGTGTACATCTGAAGACACCTTGCCACAGACGGTGCCAGTCTTAGGACCAGTGCCCCTAGAGGATCCCAGATAAAGCCCAGACTAGCTCTTAACATCAGAACGTAGGCTCTTGGGAAGAGATGCAAGGAAATGGTTTGTGGATACGTTTTTCTGAAAGTCAGTACTGTGCTCAGCCACACACTAGGATTTCTAAAATAACCACCACCTTTTAGTGTTTGTTTCATGAGGCTGTATGTGAAACACTCATCTTTCATTTCACATGTTATTTCCTTCTCATTATATGTTGATCGCAGAGTTTTGGGGAGGAGAACAATGACTCTTTCTGTACGTTCTTCTTAGTTCCAATTTTCGTTTTCATATCACAAGTTAGCCATAGTTAACCATACCGAAGCTCATAGTTAGTCTTAATCCTTGTTATGCAATTACCTAGCCTAGCATCACACGGACCTCAGGAAATCTGACCTGTCTCATAACATTTGATGGGGACTGTGTTGAGTGTCGTGAGTCATCTAAACAAGGTGTTAGACCTGAAAATGTTGAATGGATTAGTCTCCATCGCAGCAGTGTTCCTCTGGAGCCCTGGTGCTGCAGTTGGTTATGAGTTGGACTGTGAGCCCAAAAAGTCAGCAGTTCAAAACCACCAGCCACTCACTCCTCGGGAGAAAGACAGGCCTTTTACTCTTGATAAGAGTTCCCGTCTTGGAAACTCACAGGGGCAGTTTGACCCTGTCCTATATGCAGGGTAGCTATGAGTTGGTATCGACTCAATGACAAGAGAGTTTTTGTTTTAAAGTATATTTCCATGTTTCTCAACAAGCTATTAGAACTTCTTCATAGTGATGTATGTCTTGGACAACTTTTCCTGCTCTCTGGGGAAAAGTTTTTCCCACTCTCTGGGAAAATTCTAACTCCTTCCTTTTTTTTTTTTTAGTTTGGCTCCTTGTCTCTGGTGCAAGGGTTTCTCAAACTGATCATGACTTGCATCTGTCAGTGTTGGCAGGACGTGTTCCATCGTTGCTGTACTGTCTTCATTCATGCATACATGCCCCTCATTCTGTGTCACCTTGGATGGGTGGCGAGGTCCAGTGAAAGCAGTCAGGGACGGACACTTTTGGTTCTTGAAGACTTGCACAGGAGGCAAGCCAAAAGGGTGATCAGTGCAGCCCCCTCGTTACTTTTAAAAATAGCTAATGGCTTTTAAGTCAACTCATCTGCTATAGCCAAATATAACTAAACCATTAGTCCATGCTTTGGATACTGTTAGACTATTGATAAATGTGATCTCCCTTGATGATCAAAATAATGAGAGAATTGTTTTCTGTAAATATAGCAGTTTTCGATCTTCTTAGTTTTAAGACAAGCCTTGACTATCAGTGAAATCAGAAAGATCGATCATTTGCCTTCTCATTTAATCCCATTTAATTCTGCTTAACCTTTGCCATCTCCTTCTGTGCCTGACGCTTTATCAGGGGTAGAGGCAAAGACTTAGGGTGATGCCAAGTCCTAATGTCTCTATGACTACTCTCTGGGGAGATGACGAAAGTCGGAAACTGGAGAAAAAGTGTATCTAGGTCTACCCACAAACTGGAGCACCCACAAAAGCAGCTTACTATTGATGAGACACAGATGGGGGAGAAAAAAAACCTCACCTGTTTCCTGAATTTCTCAAGTACTAAAAAATCAAAACCCAGAATATGGTTTTAGAAGGAAACATTTCTTGAAAAAAGGAAATTACTTTTTAAAAGACCTTGATTCGAGATGAAGCTGTATTCAATGGTCTGGAAAGAAACTCTCCTTACCATGGCTTTCAGAGAAGACATGACACTGTAATCTTTATGTTCTCATTCGAATCTTCAGGTCGGCCTCATGGTTTGGGGAGTGTCTGACGCCCGGGTCCTTTCCCCCAGTCTGGTTAAATCATTCTGAACAACAGCCGTCCGTTCCCTGAGGAACCAGGGAGATGGTGCGCTCCTGCTTGTTGCTTTGTCCTTTATGGACAAGGAGGGAGCGGGGCCCCTCAAGCAGACATAGCAGAGTGCACACCCAGCCATGCTGGGCGCTGAGGAAAGGAGGCAGGTCCCCGACTCCACTCTCTAAATTCAGGCGTAGAGAAGTGACTGTTAGGAGGAAAGTCGGGGAAAGGAACACAGGAAGTGGGGAGGGGACTGTCATTTCCAGCAGACTGGTGAAGCTGGAAGAAGTTAGATCGTAGCGAGCTCCCAACCCACCACCTGCTTCCTTTCACGGTGGAGGGGTGCCGTGAAGGCTGTGACGCCTCCTCCGTGTGTGGTGTGATCGGCCATGTCTCGTCTAAAGAAGTCCCAGCTTGCCCTGTCACTGGCTTCTCTGTTAAAAATTGTCTTCTCTCCCCCCCTCCCCCCTTCTTGCTTGCGTCTTCTCTGGCAGGTCAATGAGGTAAGCAAGACCGACTTTCATGTCAGACACCAAGCTAACCCATCCATGGATATGACTAACCTCATGTGCATCTGTCACCATGTCTGGGCATCCGTCCTGCTTGGCTGCTGTGTAACCTCGTCTTCCCAGTGTCTGTTGCTGAGCCAGGCCCTGCCTGGCTGCCGGCGCCTAGTATTGAGCCAGGAGCAGGCATGAATGTCACCACAGGTCCAGACCTTTGAGCTGCCCACACCAGACCACTCTTCTCTCTCCCCGTCGCACTGATTGTTCCACTGGCGGGGGAGACCCCGGGAGCATTCTGGCCCTCTTTTGCCTGCATGTCTCTCTTTGGCCAAGGCTCGAGCGAGGCCGCGGCCCCCGCCAGGCTGACGGCCCTGTCTGTTCAGTTACGCAGCTCCTTCAAGCAAGCTTTTGGGAAGAAAAAGTCTCCAAAGTCGGCGTCTTCTCATTCGGACATTGAGGAGATGACGGACTCTTCGCTGCCTTCTTCGCCCAAGTTACTGCACAACGGTCCCGCAGGGTCCACGCCTCTGCTGAGAAATTCTCACTCCAACGCCCTGTAAGTCCGTCTGTCGGGGTCACCCTGGTCAGCTGACATCTCTGGTTCCTTAGAAGCCACTCGCATAGGCATGACCAGCTGATGACACATGGCTCCCTGGGAACCCCGTGTCTCGCTTCCATAGGGCTGCGCGTGAGCTCTCGGGAATTTAGGCCAGGGAGGTTGGCTTGGAGCAAACCCCTTACCCTCACTTTCTTTCCGTTTCCTTGTATGTTGGACTGGGATGAAGCTAGTGATCTTATTCTTCCCTGAGGAGGGAACCAGCCGTGCGGGTGGGGGTGTATGAGAACTGGATCCGTCCGCTACGGGAGGGAGATGTGCTGTGGGCGCGGGCCCTTCTCACTAGTTCTGACTCACGTTGAGTGACAAAACTTAGATGATATGAGGAGGAGCCAGAAAAGCCTGCTCCTCACTCATAGAAGCCTCAATTACCAACAGTATCACAAGATGGCGTTGTTGCTTCTCAGCACCGTCCTCTGTCTCGCTGGCTTAGCCCTGAAGACCCCTGGGCCGCTCCACATGGAGAGGCCTTCCTTTGTCGCTAGCTGGTCTTAGCATGGGCGGAGGGGGTGCTCCTTCCGGCCACCGCCCCCTCGTTTCCACTCATCACCCCTGGCCATTCCCCCATCAGTCGCGCCCCCATCGGAGAAGCTCAGACCCAGACAGTAGCAGTAAGTGCAGAGCAGGAATGGCTTGGGATGGTCAGGTAGGGGCCCTGAGTGTCGGCCCAGAAGGTGTCCCAGCTGCCTGCCTGCAGCCATGGGAAAGGTTGTCCCTGTCCCAGCCCTTGGGAGCAGGCCATCTGAGCAGAACCCCACTCTCCCTCTTCTGAAGGGTGCTAGCCAGACTCCACTGCTGGGCCCCAGGGATGAGTCAGGACACGGCCCAGTAGAGTACATTGGACTTCGGAGACGCTGCTTGGTGTCAGGCACCCGGGTCCTGCTTGCCACCAAGCACAAAGGTGGGAAGAGACAGGGCAGCAGACAGACCTAAACAACGCCCAAATAACCGAGGACAATCAGTGCAAAGGGTCCATGTGGTGAATTACAGTCCTATTAGGATCCAGAGGGCACTGGCTAGAGCTGTGGGTTGGGTTCTGAGGTGGTGATCTGCATGGCAGGGGTGGCCGCGTGTTCACTGGCCGGTAGCAGTGGCTGCTGCCACAGCCTGGGCCCTGTGGCTCCGCGGCTTGGGCTCTGTTGGTGGACTGTTGCTTCCCTCCAAGCCCAGCACACGTGGCCCTCCCGGGCAAGCGGCTGGCTGCATGAACAGGGGCCCGCCAAGCCCTCTGACCCGTGCTCTGGGCCCCTCCAGCAGGTGGGGGAGGGGGAGGCAGGGTTTTGTGGGTTGGACCCCCTGCCCACCTGCAGTTCACTGACAGGGCTCCGGGCCATGCCATCTACAGGGTGGCCAGTCTGATGTGAGAGAGGTGATGGGTGTTGCTCTGCAGGACTCCAAGAAGCCCTGCTTCCCACCGCGCTGCCCAGAGGGGCTGGGTGGGGCAGCTCTGGCCCCCGGCCCTTCTTTGACATTCCCCAACCTCCACAGACCCTGGAGATGTTTGGTTTGAGTCTGGTTTTCCAGAGGGCGGGCAGCGAGCACACAGGACTATGAACATGTGCTGAAGCCTGTGCAGGAGCGGTTCAAAGCAGCAGCTGCGGGCGGGTGGGAGGCTGACACTCAGAGAAGCCGCGGTCTGCGCGAGAGGCCGGGCAGCTGTGGGGAGGCCCTTGGTTCCCACACTCAAGAGCATTTAAAATGAGGTCTCGCCCCGAGACCATGGCCCTTCTTGACCCGTCAGGTCTGGACCTAAGGCTCACCCCTGCGACCCCATTCTTAGCCAAGGGAACAGTCACCCTAGTCAGGGCCGCACACCTTAGAACAGTGGTTCTCAACCTGGGGGTCAAACGACCCTTTCCCAGGGGGTCACCCAATTCATAACAGTAGCGAAAATACAGTGATGAAGTAGCCATGAAAATATTGTTGTGGTTGGGGGTCACCACCACATGAGGAACTGTATGAAAGGGTGGCGGCATGAGGAAGGTTGAGAACCACTGCCTTTGAAGAAGAGATCTGGAATCCACATGGGTTCGGAGATGGGGAGGGACGGAGGCAGGACACAGAGGGGACGGCACCGTGGGGGTTGCCGTCAGTGAGATGGAGCAGCATCCATACGGGTTGTTGGCCGTGACACTGCGGATCTGCTCTGTCAACCTCACCCAGGTCACAACAAAACATTCAAAATAAATAAATTGGATATGCCCCCGTCGGGAGGAAGCTGAGCCTTTCTGCTCCCCCAAAGAGGGACAGTCTCAGGAACCCGTAGGGGAAGTTCTGCCCGGCCCTATAGGGTCGCGGCGAGTCAGCGCTGATGGCAGTGAGTTTAGTTTGGGGTTTGCGCCCCTAGTCCTCCTGAAGTCCGCTGGACAGGCCACCAGGAATGTGTTGAAGACGGAAGGTTAATCACGTCTATAGAATTTTTCGGAGAGGCACACCAAAGCCATTCTGCTGGCCAGAGCCCTGCAAAGGAAAGCACGGAACGTCAGTAAAATCTGTGGGTTTCGGGTGCATTTGAGGTTGCCCCTGGCAGGAAGTCCAACGCAGCTGGAGACACGTGGTTCCTGGTGGCATGAAGTCGTGGCTGGGAGGGAGAGGGCCCGGCGGCGTCCCTGTTGGTAACGGGCCGTGTGTCTCGCCAGCATCTCCGAGTGCATGGACAGTGAAGCCGAGACCGTGATGCAGCTCCGGAACGAGCTGCGGGACAAGGAGATGAAGCTCACCGATATCCGATTGGAGGCCCTCAGCTCTGCCCACCAGCTCGACCAGCTGCGGGAGGCCATGAACAGGATGCAGGTGAGAGCCCCAGGGCGGCTCCCAGCCAAGCCCCAGGGGCACCTCAGAATGTGATGGCACGCCTTCTGCTCAGCCAGCCTCTCTCTCCCTCTTCCTCTCGCACTTCCACCCTTAGATTGCTCAAGGACCAGTCTTGTCCTCTTTCTTTTTAGCTTTAAAGTAATATTTGGTGGATGTAGCATTATCCATAAGATGTTTTTAAGTGAGAAGTCAGGCAGGACAAATAACACCGTGCACTGAATGATGCCAGGTTTGCATGGGAAACAGATGCCAAAAATATAGACATCCAGCAAAGTACTACTCAGAGTTCTCTGGATTCAAAGACAAATCTTTGAAACCCAGCGCTGTCCCATGTGGTTCCCCCATGATCTGCTGCGGGCCATGTGGTCTCCTTCACACAGCCTTCAAGGCTTCTACTAGCACCTGTTCACTCTGACTCCCCAGCCGCAGTGCGCCACGGTGGTTCCTTGCACATCCTGGGAGTCCCCGTCTGACACTGCACCTCCTGCAGACCCCAGTGGAGCCCTTTCTTCTGTTGAGAAGCCCAATGCTGCATTGCCGCAAAGGCCTTGCAGGTCCTTCACCTAGGCAAGTCAGTGCTGTCACCGACTGCCTGCCGATCGGCCCCACATCTGCCACCTCTGCATGGGTGGCAGGCACGAGGGTCTCCTGTTGCTCGCTGCTTTCTCTGAACACAGCCCCAGTGCCAGAATAGGGGCTCCAGAAGTACTCACCAAATGAAGGACCACTGGGAGGCCAAAAAGGCCTCGCTGGAAAAGAACCTTTCTCAAAGACGTTTCTCTGCACCACTGGATCCGTGAGAGGCTCAGCATGAAGGGGACCTTGATTGAGCCCCCTTGGGAAGTGCTGTACCTGGCGAGCCCCAGACCCACCCAGCAGCCCAGTCAAGCTTCTGAGAAGTCCTGCAGTGGTTGGGGGGTGGGGAGGGGCAGGCGGAAACAAACCTGGGCCAGCCCAGAGTTCCCTGAACCTCTTAGATTGTGGACCTTTCTTTTCACACTCAGGCAACAGAATTTAGGAAATGCTGCTGGCCTTTCAGAGACCTGTTGTCCCACAGGACAGAACTATCTCTGTCGCCGTGACTCCTGCCAGAACTGAGATGGGTCCCCGCAGAAAGGGCTGGTTTCCATCGCCCCCACCTACTAACCATGCTTCTCCCACTCCTCTGCAGAGTGAAATCGAGAAGCTGAAAGCAGAGAATGACCGGCTGAAGTCCGAGTCGCAGGGCAGCGGCTGCAGCCGGGCCCCCTCCCAGGTGTCCATCTCCGCCTCCCCCAGGCAGTCCCTGGGCCTCTCCCAGCACAGCCTGAACCTCACGGAGTCAACCAGCTTGGGTGAGTGGCGTCCTCAGACTGGGGCCAGGGCTGGACTTGCTGCTGGCCCTCTGGTCTCCAGGCGAAAGCCCCAATCTAAGCAGCTCAGCAGATGAAACGGAGAGGCAGCAAGAGCGTGTGCACTTGGGGTGTGTGTGTGTGTCTGCGTGTGCGTCTGCTGTCAACATGAGCCCAGCCGTGACCCACATCATGCTTCGCTCCAGTGCCCCAGAGCCAAGCCGTGAGCTTGGAGCCCCTTGCCCGTCATGCCGAGCTCCGTGCAGTCCAGCGCCCACGGCTGACCTGCAGGCTGAATGAGCGCAGGTCCGTGACGTTCCCGCCTTCAGGATGGACCCAGGCCGGCGCAGCACCCAGTGACCGGGACGGGTTTTTTGTTTTGTTTTCCATTGTAAGCACATTGGAGGCTGACGCTTTTCTCCTTGATGCTGCTGTCGCTGCTGGTTTCGCTTGAGTCCTCCCTCCTTGCACTCCCATTTGGCACGGTGTGTGGCCAGCCTGCTGGCGCCATTGGTTTCTGTGGTTGCCTTCTCCATGCTGTCCCCCCCCACCTCCACCCCCTGACACCTGGTTTGGCCTGCTGCTGTGTCTACAGCAGCGGGGGCGTCAGGACGCCGCTGGCTTTGCTGTCCCCGCGTGCCTAAGGCTGTTGATGTTTTCCATTCGCAGACATGTTGCTGGATGACACTGGTGAATGCTCGGCTCGGAAGGAAGGAGGCAGGCATGTTAAGATAGTTGTCAGCTTTCAGGAGGAAATGAAGTGGAAGGAGGTTAGTGGGACCCCTCTCCTTGCTCCGTCCGCCCTTCCCCAGGGAGCACTCTAGTTTAGTTACTGAATCCTAAAGCCCCTATCACCTCAGGGCCTGAGGTGAGCTTGGAAGCACTACTAACACATTTCTTAACCAACGGCAACCCCCCGGCAGCATTTCCACACTGGTAAGTGGCTAGGGTCCCTTCCCCCTGTCGCCAACGCTTCCCCCCTCCCCCCGCCTTACATTTTCATGCCATTAACTCAATAGTAACATCAGTCAGGGATGGCTCTAGTGACCCTAACGTATTCCCGGAGACCCCTCAGTGCGTAAGCTGTGTATGAAACTCCAGAAGCAGTGTGAGGTCTGAGCCCGGGGAGTTAATCATGGAAGGCCTCCAGGAGAGGTGTGTCTGTGAGCCATCTGGAAAGGACGAGGAGGCAGCCGGGAGAGCGAGCACAACCCAGGCAGAGGGACGTGCTCAGTGTATCAGGCACCATCTCAGTAGCTAAGCACACTCAGCACGGACAGTCCAGAGAAGCCGGCCACTTGTATCCCCAGTGGGCTTTTGAGGCACTTTCTCCTCATTTCCAGAAACTAGGAAGCTACTAAAAGCACCAGACTACTGGGGGGGCGGGGCGGGGGGGGTGGGTGACAATGAAAGGTGATTCTTTTTATCAGTGACCAAACCTAGATGATGCTGTAAATGACCTTCTCTGTAAAGGTGGAGAGACCTGTCCAGGCCCTCTTGAGACCCCTGAGTTTTGTTACACTCTTTCTGGGTATTTCTAGCCACCACGTAATTGCATTTCAGAGAGCTGGGGACCCCACCAAGTACAAGTCAGCCTCCCCACGCTGTCAGAGCACAAGCAGCCCTGTCACGTTTTCACTGGCTGCATCTTTGGATGTGGCTTGTCAAGCCTCCTTTCCATGGCACCCCCGAGTCAGCTGAACCCACCTTGGTTAGCAGCTGAGGGTCCGCACCCCCCAGGGGAGGGGGTGTGCGCTCACAACCCAAGACCAAAGAGGTCGCCATCAAGTACCTTTCCAGCTCCTCCCAACCCGTGGACAGAGGGCTTCTGAGGCTCTGCTCTTCGGGGGAGAGCCCCGGACGATTGAGCACTGGGCTCCTAAGCAGAAAGCGTGGGGTGCAAACCCAGCAGGCACTGGGTGAGAGAGGTGAGGCGGTCTGCTTCCACAAAGATGTACACGAATCCCTCTGTCCTGGAGCACTGCTGCTAGTCGGAGCAACGCAGTGCCAGTGGGTTTGGTTTGGGCTCTTTGTAGAAGCAGGCTCCTATGTCTTCCTCCCACAGAGCAGCTGTGGGTTCTGCATGCCAACCTTTCAGGTGTCAGCTGAGCACTGACCTACCACAGGGGACCCAGTGTCTGCAGCCCGGCTTTTCCTTGCCAAGAGATTCTGCTTTGGTCTTACTTCGGACAGACCCAGAAGTTGGGTTTCAGAAACATGTAGCCTAGAAGTTGCTCCAGTAGTGGTGTGAGGGACTAGCCAGGGGGAAATGCATTCTCATGGCAAGGACTGTAGCTTTGAAGTAGCTACAGGTGACAAGCCTGATACACATCTTATTTTCATGCTCATCAATATCATCAGCAGGTAGAATTTACATCCACCCAATGATTACAGGTCACTTGCAAACACGGTACCATTTTGGAGTCACCACAGCATCTAGGAGATTGGCCACCCAGGACTTACCTCCATTTTGCATTACGTACTTTGAGTTACAAGGTCAGTGGGAGGAACAGACCATGCAGGGGAAGGACCAGGTCATCAGACTGGAAGACTGTGCTGGCTGTGCCTAACTGCCAGGTGTCCCCCCTGGCTCTCCTAACTCTATATCCTTACAAGTATTAGATAGTTAAAAGTCCAACTGAGTGACATATACCATTAGTGTTGCCTTGATCAGTGTTAATTGGATATTCTCAGCTTGGCAGAAATGCATAAGAAGGGAAAAGTGATGGTTTCGCTCTTTTATTAATTTTTTAAATTGAATGTGTTTTTAACTTTATGATAAAGAAAATAGAAAAAGCATCATTTTAGGAGATAAGTTTGCTAGACAAATAATACAGACATACCTAAAAGGTAACCTAAATGAAATCAGAACCCTTCAGTGCGTAAGCTGTGTATGAAACTCCAGAGGCAGTGTGAGGTCTGAGCCTGGGGAGTTAATCATGGAAGGCCTCCAGGAGGAGGTGTGTTTGTGAGCCATCTGGAAAGGACAAAAAGGTAGCCGGGAGAGCGAGCACAGCCCAGACAGCAGGTTGTGTTCATTAGTAGAGTTCCAAGTCCCAGGGAAGGATCCTCTCTTCTTGTCCCACAGGTTGTACTTCTGGTGGTAGGGAAGCGACAGAGCAGGAGAGGGCTATCAGGCTGTTGTGTTGAAAAAGGGAGGGGGGGCTTTTATCCCCCCCCTTACTGTGGCGGAGTCCTGCGGCGCAATCTAAGTCCTCTGCTGAGCCGTGTCCAGAAAACCCCACCTGTGTTCACCTGCATGCCTTTCCTTACCCTTAGGATTCCAGACCGCATCTCTTTCTTATTGGCTGCATTGGAGTTAGTGGGAAGACGAAGTGGGATGTGCTCGATGGTGTGGTTAGACGGCTGTTCAAAGTAAGTAGTGCAAGGAGATCGCTGCAACGTCATCCCTGACCACGGGGCTCTGGGCTTATGGAAATAAAGGGCAGTTTATGTCTTCAAATTGTCCAGTTTTCAGACCCTGTCCCCTCTCCCACATTCTTGTACTGCTGCAACTTGCTCCCTGGCCCTAAAGTTCACTAACGGGTGATGGCTAAGTCAAGGCTGGCAACTGACCAAACCTCGCTCCCACCTGCCCTCGTTAGTGGTTGGCCATCCCACGCGTGTCCTCTGCCCAGCCCAGCCCAGTTTCCAGATTGCCCCTGTGACGTGTAACCCCGTCTTGTTGATCTGCGACATCAACTTCCGTTCTTTGTTTCGGGGGGATTTGATCTGACTGGCGTCCTCTGTCAACATTGAGGAGTCTCTGATTTGTGCTTCATGTGACGTTCGTGTCAGATCAGTGACGAGGGTCAAGGATGTCAGCATATTTATTTCCTGTTCTCTCTAATCAAATCATTGGTCAGGTGTTACCACAGGATGAAGGGGACCGTGGTGCCGTAAGGTAGTTTTGAAAGATGATTTGGTGCAATTTGTGCAGTGTCCAGAAGTGTTCATTAATCCTATCTCCCGAGTGAGTGGTGACAGCCAGTATAGATTATGCCAGAAACGATGCAAAGAAGCACTTGACTTACATTGCCCCAGTGCATCCCCAGGTCTGTGAGAAAGATCATAGTCTTGTTCCCAGTTGAAGGTGAGCAAGGTTGAGGCCCAGGTTGGGTCCCTTGCCAAAGTCATGGATGTAGGTCTAGTTCAGGGGAAGCACACTTTTGAGATGGAAGAAATTATTTGAGAGCCATAGTACATTTTTAAAACAGAGGAAATCACCATATTCTGAATGGTACCCTTTCTAATGTCTCCGTGGTACTCCAGAATTGCATGTGGCTCTCGAGCCGCCGCATGCCAACCCAGCTCTAGCTCCATGGGTCTGCCTGAGCACGTGACCTCACCAGTTCTCGGCAGCCTCCATCTAGCGCCGGCATATACGTGGCTTTATTTACACAGAGAAGATTCTCGTCTTTGCTTATCCCTCCCCTTCATGGGGGCCATTGGTAGAAAAGTGACCAGGCAAGAGATGTGAGCAGCTTTGGGCAAACCATGCTACTGCTCGTACTCTCGGCTCCCCGTCAACTGGGCCATCCCTGGATTCCAGAGACTGCAGCTGGGCCTGAAGACTGCGTCTGGGCCATCCTAGGCGAGGGGGCCACGAGGCTGTTCGAAGCAGAGGCCTGATAATGGTTCCAGACCCATCACTGTGGCTGGCCCCGAGGCCAAGGACCCGTGCTCGCTCTCCATTCAGTGACATGACACTTCTTGGTCACTTACAGTTTCTGAATCCAAACACATCTTCTTTTTCAAGGGCCAGGCTACTCCTCTCTCACAGCCCTGTGTTAGTCTGTCGTGAGCATAGTTTTCACCTTGAGCCAGAAGGCCGGTGGAGCCCTTGCTTGTCACAAAGACAGTTTCGTGAATCCCCCCTGCACCATTCACAGCCCTGATGTCTTCAAGGCGCCAGTCGAATGTTGTGCTTGGTTCACAGTCTAGATGTTTACTGCCCGGTTCGATTTTCTTCCAGCACTAGCCAAATAAACCTGTGTCTGAGGAGGCCCGTGCTCCTAGGGCATTATCCCCGGGGCCAGTCAGCTCTTCTCCCCCAAGGGCCACACTTCGCCTCAGACGTTGCCCCTGAGAGAGATGACAATTGTAAATCACCCAGTGAAACCACACACCGTGGGCAGAGCTGCGCCTTCTCTGAGGGTGCCTTTCTGTTTTCCAGGAATACATCATTCATGTTGACCCGGTGAGTCAGCTAGGGCTGAACTCCGACAGCGTCCTGGGCTATAGCATCGGGGACATCCGGCGGACCAACACGTCTGAAATGCCGGAGCTGCTGCCCTGTGGTTACCTGGTTGGGGAGAACACAACCATCTCTGTGAGCGTCAAAGGTACTGTGACTCCGTGTGGACCAACGCTGGGCCTTCAGGAGCTGCAGGGCCACCAGACACCCCAGCTGCGGTTGCCTTTGGGCAGGTGTATGGGCTTCTCCCCGCACGTCCCTTCCATGACCCTTACGAAGGGGGCCTAAGAAAGGGGAGCACTGTGAGTTTCCAGCCACCATGGGAACAATGGTTTTCATTCATGGCCAAGAGGACAGAACCAAAGATCCCATTAGCCATGACTCTGAACTGACAGGCTGTTAGCAACCCTGTGGAAATGTGTTTCTGCTGGCAGAACTCCTCACCAACACCAGCAAATGACTCCCGCCAGCACCTGTTGGCCGTGGGCCCATTCCACACACGGGGAGAGCGTGGTTTAGGCTACAGCACAGGTCGCTGATCCTTTTGCTCACGCACAATGCTGCAGGGGCTGAGACTGCTCTGAGAGAACTCTCATCTCACCGAGTTCTCTGTAGAGAAAGGAAAAGCTCTCCTGGAGAGCTTTTGAGTTTGGGGATGGCATCATTATTGTCGCTTGGGATTGGAGACAGAAGGCAGGAGTAATTCCCAGGCACACAAAAGGCTCCAGGTGCTAAAACCCCCAGAACTCACAGCCATGGAGTCGATGTGCTTAGTGGCCCTGAAGGGCAGGGTAGAAGCGTCCCCGGGGGTTCCCAAGACTAACTCTGTGCAGGAGCACAGCAGCCCCATCTCTGCCCGCTGAGCAGATGGAGGTTTGGAACTGCCCGTGCGGTTTAGCAGCCAGCCCAGTGCAACCCACGACACCTCCAGACTTCCTGCTGTGCTGTTGGGGAGGGGCGGGGACTGCCCGATCCACTGTATTTCCCGTTTCCATTTGACTGGACAATCCCAATTTTCCTATACTGTGAGGACTATACGTTGACGCACTTTGCACTATGCTCGTCTTCCTGATTGATTTGTCCACTGACTTCCTTATCTGAGGCTGAGGTTTTGACAGTGCAACCTTTGAGCCGCCCAAGTCCAAAATATGTGTCCTGCCGAGGAGAAGTTTCTAAAAGAGCCAGCCTGCCTGTCACTGTTGGTGACAAATGGTGCATGTGCCACTCGGGCATCAAGCAGCTGGTCATGTTTTACGAAATAGCCTGATGCTTTCAAGCTGGCTCCCACTGGTGGCCACTGCATGTGTTGCAGAATAGAGCCGCTTCATAGGGTTTCTCAGCTGTTCTAGGAATGGAGCGGATTCAGACCATTCTTCCGCAGGGACCCTGGGGGTGCTCAGAGCACCAGCCTTTAGATGTATACTCGAGCACAAGCTGTTTGAGCCCCCCCCTCACACATTATCAAGTAAAATCCCACACTATTGTCATTGGGCCGCAGTGCTAGGAACTGGCTCAAAGCAAGCTTTAGCAAAAGAAAAAAGTATATGTATACATCTATATATACCAGGAATGTATAGATTCACAAACCTGGGAACCCAGGAGCAGGCTTCAAGCACTGCTGGACCCAGGTGCTCAGTGCCACCAGAACTAGCTCGAGCTCAGCTCTGTTCACCACTGCTTGGTTTCTTTTGTGAACATTCTGCACAAGGTTGTTGAAATACCACTGAATAAAAATAATATACTGTTAAAAAAAAAGCCACTGGCTTAGGATTCCTTCTAATTTAGGAACCTCCAAGAGAGAGTCTATTTCTGGAAGGGGGGCAGGGAGTCTCTAGAGATGACTGCCCACTAAGAGTCAGACACCCACCAGCCCTGGCCCAGCCTGGCTGCATCCCACCCCTGCCTGGCTGACGGTGTGGCTCAAACCTGCCAGAATACCTAGAATGGGCTTCCCTACAGACAGCACTTCCCTGCAGGGGCGAGGAGGGAAGGACACTGTCACTACAAGGGGAACTGCGTCAGCCTGTCTGATTGCGTGGGATCTAGTGGCCCAGTGTGCACCGTTCATGTCCTGATTGGATGCCCATGATTTCATTGGGGGAGGGGGGCTGAGGGAGGGAGAGGTAGGGAGGAGGCCGTGTGCTGAATGAGATTGTTGGCCAAGTAGTCCCTCCCAGGGGGCTGCTTAAGGCAAATGACAAACAGAAAACAAACCAGCAACATGTAGGCAGACACTGGGGCCCATCGGGACCCCAAGCTGTGGAGCGTGTGGAGCTGGGTGTACTGTAGTCGCCTGGGCGCAGTGTGGGGCCGCTCTCAGGGTTTCTGAGGCTGAAATCTGAAAAGCAGCACATCTCCAGGTCTGTCCTCCCAGAGAGCAGCTGGGGCTCAAACCACGGAACTTTTCAGTTGGCTGCTAAGTGCTTACTCACTGTGCAGCCAAGGCCACTCATATTGAGGCTTAGTGCCGGGGAAATCCCAAGCCTGTCTCCCCTTTACCATGTTCTTTCTGGAACAGTCGGTGTATTTTGGGACTACTCTTGGTGTAGGGTCGCCGAGTCAGAGTGGACTTGATGGCAGCGAGTGGTGAGTTTCTTGGTTTGGGAAGGATCGGAAAGAGATTTAATCACCTAGGGGGTTGGTCGGTTTGCAGTGAATACTTGTGTGGAAGGAAGATGCTATGTTGAGACAGCAGAAGCCCTGTGCTCTACCCTGCACTTACAGACACCAGGTTTCTTGGAGTACGTTTAACTGAATCACCTTAGGTTCTGGCCAGAGCATCTCTTGGGGATCGTTTCAAGAACATCACTCAAAACTGACCGAGAACAGAGCTCTTATAAAAGTTAACATGCCTGACTAGTCCGGTACGGAAGGGAAAGGTCCATGTCCACTTGACAGCGAAGAGCGATCTCAACATGTACCATTTAACCTAACGCTGTTCTACACATCCCCAAATCATATGATCCCACTGCATTTCTCCCGATTTTACTCAGAAAGCTTTATCTTTGTGGTTCACACACGAGGGTAGCAGTGGCCTCGTGAAAGCAGAGCGAAGATGCTAATTGAGGGGCCTGGCTGACATTGACACACCAGGACAAGATTCTGCCTGGGTTTGGGTCCATGGCACTGGGTCCGTATAGTGGCCCCAGACAGGCACACCATGTCCGGAGTCAGGAGTTCTCAGAGGGCAGACAAGGGCTGTGGGCCCAGGAGTTGTAGGTGCGTGGAGCCAAAAACACCTAATGCTGACTGGGGGGTGACTGTGTGCTGGGTACCTGCGTGGGCAGAGGTCTCAGGTGAGTGAACTGCTAAGGAGAGGGAGCAGCTCAGGTCTTGGCAGTCCCCTAGCAGCTGCAGAGGGCAGCCGTGCTTCCTGCAGGCCCTCCAACCCCCTCCTTCCTCCAATGCAGGGCTCGCGGAAAACAGCCTGGACGCTTTGGTGTTCGAGTCTCTGATCCCCAAGCCCATCCTGCAGCGCTACGTATCCCTGCTGACAGAGCACCGGCGGATCATTCTGTCTGGCCCCAGTGGCACCGGCAAGACCTACCTAGCAAACCGGCTGTCCGAGTACATGGTGCTTCGAGAGGGCCGGGAGCTGACTGATGGTGTCATCGCCACCTTCAACGTGGACCACAAGTCCAGCAAGGTAGGGGCAGCAATGGGAGTCTGCCCCCAACCAGGGGGCATGCCTGGGTGCTTTTCGAGCTGTTGAGATGGGTTGGTGCCGATGGCTGCCACAGTGGGCTGCACAGTGGGCTCAGACACAGGAACGATGCGGAGGCTGGTGGGGCCCGCAGCGCTGCCCTCTGTTGCACACCGGGTCACGCTCAGTAGGAGCCCACTCAACAACAGAGCGACAGTTGACAGCACTGCTGGGCTGGTGGGAAACAGCACTTCCTGGAAGCGCTCCTTCAGTGGCTACCGAGTGCCCGGTGGCCGAGGTGAGAACAGGGCAGCAGAAGCACAGCCCTGGCGCTCCACCAATCAGTTCCATCTGGGCTCAGGCTCCAGCTCCGGAAACGCTACCTCACCCAGCCAGACACAGGCTCCGAGCTACTCAGGAGTTCTTTCCCCTTTGTTCGTTTTCCTAATAAGGATTCTTTTTTCGTTTTTATTTTTATTATTTTTTTCAACATGTTTATTGGCACATAGTCACAACCGAATAATTCAATTGTTTGATCACATCAAAGGGAGTTGTACGATCAGCACTTCTATCTGGTGCATTTCCCCCCACTTATTAACTTTGTATTGTGAGGTGGGTAAGGGCAGAACATCAGTTTTCTGTTCAACTGTACAAACACATTTTGTTTCATCTCGTTGAAGTCCTCTCCACTTGCTTTCTGTGTGTCTCTAACCTTCTTAACACTGTTCTTGGGTAAATACTGTCCTTTGACCTCCAATGTCTGCCTAGTGTTAACTGTGTGCCAGGTAGACCTGTCTATGGTTGGACTTAAATTGAGTCACAGCAGTGAGTCCATTTCCAGATCTGCAGGGTGACTAGCGGCCATTGTCTCAGGGTTCCACCAGTCTCTCTGACCAGTAGCCTGGGCTTTTTTATAATTTTGAGTTCTGGTCCACATATTTCTCCCACTCTGTCCTGCACCTCCTGATGTGATTCCTTGCAGGACAGTTGTAGTGGTGGGTAGACACCATCTAATTCTGGTATCAGTTGCCTGTTTGCTTTTTTCAAAGCATCCAATACTTTCATACCCATTTACCAGGAAATGTCCCATGAGCTACAAAGTTACACGGTTTTCCACAATAAACCCTCTTTGGTGGTAACAGGGCAATAACAGAAGCCCACATTCTGCGGTGTCTTCGCCTGCACTAGCAAGTTGGCCTTGCCTTCGTTCCTTCCAACGAGTGCTGTTTCTATGCCCACTTTTAGAGCAGCACACTGAGGCTTAAAGCAAGTAGATCATGTGCCGCAGGCCACTGAGAGTGGGACTGGAATGGGACCCTAAGGCTGGGGCTTCCTCGCGGGGACCTATCTGACTTGGTAAGAGCTCTCCGAGCCGGCCCATTCTGTCATCCCTCCGCGTTTATGGATCGTGCGCTCTGTAGCCGGTCCTGGGCAATAAAGGGAAGTGATCCCTTTGCCCTGACGCTGCCTGGGGTGATGGACAGAGCCACCTCCTGGGCTTCGCGCCTCCATGGCCTGTTTGCAGCGGGTTGTGGGGCCAGGACTACGTACCACCACCCAAGTTCCCCAAGTGATTTGTCTGTAAGTCTTCCTCGAGTGGCGACAATGTACGCACCAGCAACTCCCACGCCTCCAATTCCCTGATGCTGACAACATCGTTCACGCCGTGCTACCACCATTGCTATCCTTTCTCTAACGTTCCCCGCCATTCACCAAAACCAAACCCAAAGCCCCCCTTTCCCTGTCCTCCCTGCCTTGGGTAACCAGTAAGACTGATTTCTCCATGTGGACTGACTTCATGTACGGGTTATCATGCAGTATGGGTCATTTTGCAACTATTTGTTCAACATGATGATTTCAGGGTTCTGCCATGCTGTGGCATGCACCTGAGCTTCCACTCTTGTTATGTCTATGTGATAATCATAAGCCTCTGTCTGTCTGTCTGTCTACCAACCACACTTTGCATGGCCACTCATCTGCTGAGGGACATTTCGACTGTCTCTACCTTTTGGCTCTTCTGGGTCGCCGCGCCTCCATCAAGTTGGTTCTGACTCACAGCAACCCTGTAAGACAGAGAACTGCTTTCCAAGACTGTGGAGGTTTGCAAAAGTAGAAAGCCTCCTCTTTCTCCTGAGAAGCAGCTGGTGGGTTTGAACTGCTAACCTAGTTCTAGCGGCCAGCGGCCAACTTGTAACCCACTAGGTTACACAGGCCCCCAATCATTGTGCTGTGGGGCAGAATGAGGGAGAAGGGTCAAAACCCCTAGATGGGGGTCAGGGCAGGTGCCTTCTCCGGGACCAGTTAGAGGAGGACCCCAGGCATGTGCCAGTGGCCTCAGCTCTATGCTACTTTCCCTGGGCACGGCACCCGAGGTCAGCCCACAGGCTGCCAACAGCATCCCTCAGGCCTGAGGGAGGAGTGGGGGGTGGGCTGGGGTCTCAAGGAGTCAGGGGCCTGTCCCAGTCAGGGGCCTGAGGCTGGGTCCTAAGTGAAGAGGGCTAAAGAAGGAGGGGCACCAGTAAGTGAAAGAAACCGAGGGAGGGCCCCCCCGCACCCCTCTTTCTCTCTCTCTCTCTCTCTCTGTGTGTGTGTGTGTGTGTGTGTGTGTGTGTGTGTGTGTGTGTGTGCCAGAGCTGGAGAGGCTGCCAGGCTGCCTGGCTGCCTGGCTGGGTAAGAAGCACACACTGGGGTCTGTGTGCAGCCTGCTGCTCCCGCCTGTGGGCTCGCAGGCCAATTACCTGCCCTGGAGTGCCTCGGCTGTAAAACAGAGACATCTTACCTGGTGATCTTAGGGCTACCTACACAAGTTAACGTGGCGGGGGTGGAGGTGGGGGGCTTCCACTTCATGGCAACATCGAATGTAATGATGGTGGGATTTTCCCAGGAACTTTTTGAAGCCCCCTCATATGAACTATGCCTGACAGGTAAATGCCAACTTATGCTAATGCTGATTTTATCAGACAACACAGCCTCATCCCCCAGGAACCCATATCCCCTACCCAGCCTAGCTTAGCTGCCTTCTGCTCTTAGCACTCATCCTGTATCTGATGTCCTACCTGCTCCTCAAGGTCAAGTTCTAAGCCAGCTTTCAACAAGGCCCCTCCACATGTCAAGTCATTCTTCCTCCACTACCCTTGCTCCGCCAGCCACATCACTAATCATCATGCTCACTTGTGTGGGCATCCGAGGCCCCTGTTTGATGAGTCTCTCCAGGGCTCTGGGTGTGCACAGGCAGGCAGGAGCTCTTGAGGCACACAAGCATGTGAGGCACGAGACTTCCAGACACTTCCTGGAGCGGGCATGGAAAGACCTGTAAACAAATGGACAGGGTGTGATGGAAACCAAAACAAAAAACAACAAAACTCACTGCCCTCGAGTCTATTCTGACGCACAGTGACCCTACAGGGCAGCGTAAAATTGTCTCTGGGTTTCTGAGACTTCAGGCCTGTATGGGAGTAGACAGCCTTGTCTTTGTCCCTCCGAGGGGATGGTGGGATTAAACTACTGACCTTGCAGTTAGCAGCTCAATACACTTGTTACTCATCCCGCGCTCACCCCAAGTCCCCCTCAGCACCAACCCAGTGCCTTTTATCTGGCAGACACGCATGCGCGTTTGTGGATGGGGATCCTGCTTGAAGGTGCGGAGCACCTACATCTGCACTGCGTGTATCCATGAACCTGCTCTCCCCCTGCCCTCCCACACCTCCCTAGGAATTGCGCCAGTACCTTTCCAACCTGGCTGATCAGTGCAACAGTGAGAACAATGCCGTGGACATGCCTCTTGTCATCATCCTGGACAACCTGCATCACGTCAGCTCCCTGGGCGAGGTCTTCAATGGGCTGCTCAACTGCAAGTACCATAAATGGTAAGGACCAGCTGCAGATGCCCTGCAGAGCCTGCTCTGCACAGTGCACAGCTGTGGGAGTGCGGGGAGGTCTGGATGCAGACGCCCTGCCCCTGGAGAGCGTGGAGCCCCCAGAGCCTGCTCCGCACTCTGCATATCTGTGGGAATGTGGGGAGGCCGGATGCTGTGGGTGCCTGGCTTGCCAGCATGGCTCGGAGTCACACAACTCTCTCCCTCTCTTTGGCCCGCAGTCCTTACATAATCGGAACCATGAACCAGGCTACCTCCTCAACACCCAATCTGCAACTTCACCACAACTTCAGGTAAGGGGCGACTTCTCGTGTCCCAGCAGAAGCTGGAACCTGCACGGGGGTGGGGGTGGGGTGGGGCGAGTTCACTAGAAGGAGCAGAGGAGCCTTCTTTTGAGTAGCTCTTACACGCTGGACACTGGGTTAAGCTCCTTCTCCAGTTTGGCCCATTTAATTCTCGCAACAACCTCAAGGGGCTAAACTCATTATTCTCCATATGAAATGAAGAAACTGAGGAACGAGAATGAAGTGACGTGTCTTGAGGTAATAAAGGTCAGCGCAGGGCTGACATTCAAGCCCAAGTCTCTGAGATTCTACATCCTGCTCTAGTGATTTCAAGAAGGCGCCCTTGCCTCCCCTGTGCCCCATCAGTGACACGACCCTGTCCTAAGTGAGCATGCGCAGCACAGCTCTGCCTTGGGGGTGTCCTTCACACTGCTGGCCCTACGGGCTGTCGGAGCCCCAGCAGCTCTGAATTTCCACCATGAATCTGTCGACCACAGGCAGGTGGCTATAAGGAACAGAGATGTATCTTCTCACAGTTTAGGCGGCGAGGGGCCCATGTTCAGGGCACCATGTCCAGGGGCAGGCTCCTCCTCTGTCCGCGTGCTCAGAGGGAAGACCCTGGTGTCTCTCCGGCTTCTCTTCTCTGCTTCCTTGGTGATTACTCAGGACGCACCTTCCCCTCTGCTCTTTCCTGGTTTCTGTTTCATGAATACGGTTAGTGCATATACTTCCCATGTCATACAATGTAATCATGCAATCACACTAAGATTTGTGTGATCACCACCACAATCAGTTTCAGAACAAGTTCTATTACTGGCTTTCCACCCCCACTAGGGCATCTATCAGTCCAGTTACTGTCTCCATAGACCTATTGATCCTGGATTTCCTATACAAAATACCATAGGAAGCAAACACAAAACCAACAGTGACTAGACAAAACATCTTGACGCTCACTTAATCTGCTCGTTTGTATCCCAAGAGTTTGCTTGCAGACACACCCTCCACGAATACAGCCTCAGTGACAGGGCACAGAACCTCATTCCCAAACTGGAGTGCAACCACCGGTGACCGGTGTTGCCAGGAACCTGCACACTCGTGGCAGTGAGTTTTACAGTAGTAGGGGACACCTATCTCGAGGTCCCATTCAGAACCTCTCCCCTCTGCCCGCGCACCCTCCCGAGGCTCACTCACGGCAAGGGTGTGGAAAGGGCCATTCCACTCCGTCATGCCAAGCCTTGCCCTCACAACACCCCTCTGTTGTCCCAGAGCCCAGCCAACTCTAGTGCTCTGCCCATGATGAGTGACTTGATTAGAGCCTTCCTCCGGGCTGAGACCCCTGGCTGGCTCGTCAACGGCCAGTTTTCAGCTGTCTCTGAGGAAATCTATGGAAAGTGCCCCAGAACTGTAATGATCAGAGATAAAGATCTGCTCTTCTAGGGCACTGCAAACATGCTGTGTCTCTGTATGTAGGCTGTCCCAGTCTTGTCCAGACTTCCTCCAATCTCTCCCTGAAATCCTTTCTCTTCCTTCCTGCTCCCTGCCTTCCCCGCGGTAACTGGGCCATTCCTCGGCGGCCCCAGTGAGCATTCTAGAATGCTGATCACATAATCCTCGTGTTTAAAGGCCTGCAGTGGCTGCCTATCGCCGTGATTTAAAAGCAGAGCCCTAGCCATGAGAGTCAAGTCCACTTACACTGAACTTCTGGAGGTCTCCTACACACACATTATTTCTCACGTCGGTAAATGCTACCATGTGTCCTTCCCACATACACCTCCCTCCCCAGCTCTGCCCCTGCCTGTCCTGTGGCTCCTGTTTATTCTTCCAGTCCCAACCCAGGGAAGCCCCTCGAACCAGCCTCCCTGGGCCCACGCCTCCTCCCTTCATTCACTTGTCTTTCTCCTGCTCTTGTGCTCCTCGGGGACTACGTTGTCATCTTGTGGGGGCCCTGGAGGGGCTCCATGGGACAGAGTGGAGCTATTCAAAGGGCTTCCTAGGCTGCGGTCGATGGAGGCAGATCTCCAAGTCTTTCTCGTAGAAAGCAAGCCTTTTGGTCAGCAGTAGATTGCCAGGCCATTGCTCCACCAGGGCGCCGGGGCTGGGTTTTGGTCACTGCTCTAGCTCCGTAGTCCAGCCCAGGCCTGCCGTCCAGCATCATTCAGTGGTTAGAGCTCAGTTCTGGAGCCAGACTGCCTGGGTCCTCATCTCAGCCCTTCTGTTCATCCGTTGTTTGCTCATGGACAGGTGACATGAACTGCCCATGCCTCACTATGGGGGGGGGGGTGTCACCATACAGGGCTGGTGCTGTTCTTGTCCCGAGCCACCGAGTCAGCTCTGACCTGTAGCGGCCCCTATGCACAACACAATAAATCACTGCACGGTCATCCTGCACCGCCCGTCCTCACAGGGGTTTTTTATGCCTGAGCCCATTGTTGTAGCCGTGGGGTCAGTCCATCTTGTTAATGGACTTCTCTCTTCACCGCCCCTCCCCTTTACCAAGCATGATGTCCTTCTCCAGGGACTGGTCTCTCCTGACGGAGTTTCTGTAACAGTAAAACCGTGACTCAGGAATGACCAGGTGGCACCCTTGGGTGTGGAAAGAGGAAATATTTATTAGCTGGCGACCCTGAAGAACTAGTGTTCTGAAAGATCTGGACCCCGAATGGCAAGTGGGTGTATCTTATATCCTTTGTCTGCAGAAGTGAGGTCTGGAAGCAGAATAGACAGAGATTTCTAGTGCACAGTCCTTAGTGAAGAAGGTGTGTCTGGGGGGGTGGGGGTGGAGAGGGGTGGGGATGGGTGCATTCTGGAATGAAAAAGTACATGGGGCGTGGCTGTGTGCTGGGTTTCTTTTCCAATGGCTAAAATTCCATTAGCATTTTTCTTACATTTCCAAGGCTGTCAGACAGTCTTGCCATCCTTGCCTCTAAGAAGCACTCTACATGTACTGCCTCCGAGACAGCCGGGCTTGTCCTTCTTCCAGGGGTGGCTGTGAGGAATTTGGTGTGCGGCTTGCTGGACACCTGTTAGTCTGCGCACAGTGGGAGCTGGGACGGGCTTGTCCTTCCTCCAGGGGTGGCTGTGAGGAATTCGGTGTCCTGCTTGCTGGACACCTGACTCTGTTAGTCTTTGCACAATGGGCCATGCTTCACATCGCTGAGCCGCCCAGCTGGGTGACAAGGCCTTCCTAACTCCCTCAGGTGGGTGCTCTGTGCCAACCACACGGAGCCCGTGAAGGGCTTCCTCGGCCGCTACCTGCGGAGGAAGCTCATGGAGACGGAGATCGGTGGGCGGATGCGGAATGTGGAGCTCGGGAAGATCATCGCCTGGATCCCCAAGGTCTGGCATCACCTCAACCGCTTCCTGGAGGCTCACAGCTCCTCAGACGTCACCATCGGTAGGCACGGGGAAGGCAGTCTCCTGGAGCTCCACTCTCTTGGAGGTTTGCCCTCACCGCTGGGCAGGCAGCTCTTTGCTGGACTGTCCATGCAGATAGATAAGGGGCCCTGGGACAGGGGCAACCATCTGTCCCTGTGTCCAATGCTATGTCTCCTGGCCAATGTCCCCTGCCCAGTGCCAGGGGGACCAGCAGTGGAGACTCGGCCAGCCCTTTGGGATCGGCTTTGCTTTAAAAATAAAAGTCTACTCACAGACCTGATTGTGGATTTAGAATGGGGGTTGAGGGAGTGGGGCCGGGGGTGGTGATGGGGGGGCTGTTTTAGGGAGGTGGGAAGCTCCCCGCCCATCCACCATCCAATGTCATTTGGGCTTATTCCCTCCCACGCCTGTGTTTCACATGGTGGCAGTCACAGTCGGGGCACAGCCTCTCCCATGTTGCACCCGCTCATGAAGATCCCCCGGGGCTGCTGGCTTTCATCAGCACATTTCAAGGCGACAAAACTAGCACGTATGGAGCCGTGTCCATTCTCCTGGACACTGAGTGTGCTGTTGTTCTGCTTCTTTTTAGTCCCAATTCATACAGCATAAATGATAGGTTCCCAAACTTATTTGGCTTACAGCCCCCTTCCAGAAAAAGAAAAAAAGAAAGATGACACAGCCCCCTCCTGGCAACTGGAAACTTCCCAGAACCCAGGATAAAGTGTGGGGTCTGCTTGCAGCCCCGCTGGGTCATGCAGTGCCTCTACTTTGAGAAAAACTGGAATAAATCAGTACATGTCTTCTGGACGGCTCCTTGGGTACAGTCCTCTGGGGTAGGAGCTGGGAGTCTCGGGGTCCTGCTCTGGGCCCCACCTCAGCAGCTGGTGTTTCTGCCACCAGCCCTGCCTTCACTCAGCCCCAGGGTGGCTCCTTACAGTAGGCCCTGGCCGTGGCTTCCCCTAACGCTCTTCATTCTCCCGTGACTGCTCATCCCTGTGCGCTCCAGGCCCCCGGCTCTTCCTCTCGTGCCCCATCGACGTGGATGGCTCCCGAGTGTGGTTCACTGACTTGTGGAACTACTCCATTATCCCGTATCTCCTGGAAGCAGTCAGGGAAGGACTCCAGGTGAGACCTGCTTCTTGTGGTCAGCTTGTGGCCAATGCGTTGCCTGTATCTCCTTTTCCAGGAATCTGGCTGACTCGCGGGGTCAGCCCCTCATCTCCGAGGCCATCAGCTTAGAGTTACAGGCATGATAGCACAGATGTGGCGGCGGCCCATCCTGGCTCAACCACTGGTTCGCTATGTAACCCCCGGCGAGTGGTTCAGCCTCTCTGCACCTCAGTTCCAGGCCTGTAGAGGGGCAATTATTGTATGCTGCCACACAGTTGTTGACAGGGTTCCAGAAAGGCAACTTAGTACATGCGTGCGACGTGGAGCTGTCTGTGTGTGCAGAAGACGGCAGAGCGTTCCCCTATGATGGATTAGAGCCCTGGCTTAGTCTTGAAACGAGGGGAAAGTTGCTTTGTTTGTTGGCTAAGTCTTACTTTCCAGAGAGGACATTGGGACTCTAGGAGAATTGGCTTGCCCAAGGAGATTGAGTAGGAACTTGAGGGAACTGTGATTTGAACTCATGCCTCTGGGTGCAGGTCCAGGTTCTCCACCCAGGCCCCTAATCACTGCCAGTTTTCAGTGCCTGTGTGGATAGTGAAAAGAATGAAATGGGCCACTTCTCGCTCAACCCCAGGGTAGAACACCAGGTGGTTACACCAAAGCAGGAGCTTGCCACAGTATTGTTAAGTCCAGAGGCAGAGGAAGACATTCAGAGGGCTTCCAGCACCCACAGGCACGAGCAGGTCTGTGCTTGGCTGAATAAACCCCGACTCGCCCCGCAGGGGCAGGTTTCCCAGGGTTATCTGCTTCCTTAACTCTAGGCAAGGGGAGGAGGGTTCCTCGGCGCACTGAGGGTGAGCCAGGGTGTGCACTTACACATGCACTTACACTCTACCTGTGACTGAGTCTGTGAATATGCTGGTGCTTCGTCTGGGTAGATGCTCAGGGCTCCGCAGCAGCGAGCCTTCGGGGACATTCAGAACAATAAGGACCCAACAAGGAAGCTACATCTACCTCAGGGAGGCCACTGCAACAATGTAAATATTACAGTAAAACAAGCTGCATGGATTTCTTAGGTTTCCCAGTGCAAATAAAAGTTAGGCTACACCGCAGACTACTAGTGTCCAAGAGCATTCTGGGCAATTTTGAAATTTTGTGAGAACAGCCAAAATGTGACCCAGACACGAAGGGAGCGCGTGCTGTTGGGGAAATGACACCCATGGACTTGTTCGGGGCAGGGTTGCCACAGACATGCAACCTACAAAAACTGCAGCACCTGCGAGAGCATCAAACGGGGTGTGCCTGTGGTGTGTGAGTGCTCAGCCCCTGGGCTCGGGGAGTTTTGCAGAACCTCGGGGTCAGGGCTTCAGGGGAGGACTTGGCCTGCTCCAGCTTGTCCCTCTTGGCCCGTTTCAGCTGTATGGCAGGCGAGCTCCTTGGGAGGATCCGGCCAAGTGGGTGACGGACACGTACCCATGGGCTGCCAGCCCCCAGCAGCACGAGTGGCCCCCGCTGCTGCAGCTGCGCCCTGAGGACGTGGGTTTTGATGGCTACTCCGTGCCTCGGGAGGGCTCCACGATCAAGCAGGGCCCCCCCAGCGACACAGAAGGAGACCCACTGGTGAGTCCTGTTGGCCGGGCAACTGCCAACCTCCCATCAAGCTGGTGGGTTTGACGGGAAGACTCTAGATAGTCCAAGATGGCTTGAGAAGGCTAGGGTCACCCCGGAATTAGGCATGTTTTCCCCAGAACTTTCTCCTGTAGCTTCGGTGTTCACTTAAGCCTCTAACACCCCTGAACTTGGTTCTGTTGTAAGGTTAGGGATTTGGTTTTTCCCTAAATGATCACCTGTTGCCGCCGCCCCACTCCTTACTCTCTGACCTGAGATGCCCACTTTACTACGTGCCTCCCTGTTCCCCAGACCTCCCACATTGGTGCCTGAGCAGAGGCAGAGAGGTATGAGGGCAGAAGGGTTCTGGGTGGGCAAGGGGGCCTGAGTATATTGAGATGTTAATAAGTCTTGAACACTGCCTGGGCTGCGCAGAGGTTAAGTGCTCAGCTGCTTACCCAAAGGTTAGTGCTTTGAAGCCCCCAGCTGCTCCACAGGCGAAAGCTGTGGCAGGCCACACTTAGGACGGTTACAGCCTTGGAAACCCTATGGGGCAGCCCTCCTGAGTCAGCATCATCTCATGGGTTTGTTTTGGGGTTTGGGTTGGGCTGTTTATTGAGTCCACCATCTACTTGAAGCTGACGATGGGTTTGGTGGTTGTGTTTACTGAGTGCGACAATGTGCTAGGCAATGCTCTAGACTCAGAGCTTAGTACACATTGTCATTTTAGTTCCTATGTCAACCTCATGGGACAGGTGCTGCCCTCTCCCCTCAGTCAGAAGAGGGCGACTCAAAGATAGGTGAGGTGATTCTCCCTCAATTCTTGATTAGCACGGAGGCCTGTCTGCTCTGCACCTCACTGGAGGCTGGGGCGCGCTCGGCTGACCTCTGGCCAGAGACAGAAGTGGGTCAGGTACTGCAGATGCAGATGGCGGCAGCAGGGCTGTACTTGTCCCAGAAGCAGGGATGCTTGACAGGCCTCTTCACCTCACCTAGGCCAGGGCCACACCCGGGTCAGGTGCACCTCTTGCAAGTAGGGCTGTTCATGTTAAGGGCTTTACATTTATCACCTCAGTTGAAGCCACTGTCTCAAAGGGAAGGGACTGTTAACCATGGGAGAAATTGGGCACAAGGACGTGAAGTAACCTGTCCCCAGGCTGTGTGCTGTGCGCCCCGCAGCCTAGCCCAGCCCCTGCCGCACTCTCTCCCTTGCTCCGTGAGCCACAGGCGCCTCTGCGGGAGGCTGGCAGCAGCGGAAAGGTGGGGTGGAGGGCTGGCTGGGCTGTGCCCACACACTGCTGTCTCCGCAGATGAACATGCTGATGAGGCTGCAGGAGGCTGCCAACTACTCCAGCCCGCAGAGCTACGACAGCGACTCCAACAGCAACAGCCACCACGACGACATCCTGGACTCGTCCTTGGAGTCCACGCTGTGACCAGGGGCCCAGCCATTGTGCTAGCCCTCCTCCCTCCTGAGCCCCCTTCTCCCTCACCCACCGCTCCATCCCGAAAGCGATGGTTTCTTGAGCCAGCCCTCCCTAGCCGCAGTGCCAGAGCTGCAGAAAGAGCAAGACCCCGCGTCCCTCCACCCCGCACCCCGCCCTGCCCGGGGTGCAGCCCCCTCCCCAGTCCACCCAGCGGGGGACCGCCTCCCTCTGGCCATCGGAACTGTTTTATTTTAGTTTGACGCTTCGGTTCTGCCTTGTTGCTGTGACCTCCCTAAGACACTGAAGCGACTTGTCAGGGAAGGCCGTCACCGTTGAAAGGGGGACAGAAAGACCCCACGAGAAGCTCTGAAACCAAACCACCTCCTCCCCGAGCGGCCCAGGGACGGCCCGGCTGGGGGCAACGCTGGCAAGTGTCCCAGAGCGCACGGCCGCCCGGAGAGAACTGGTGCTACGTGGAGTGCCCACACACCCCACATACACGCACACTACACACACACGCCCCTTCTGGGAAAAGCAAGCATGCTCTTTCGGTTCGGTTTGACCATGGTGCTCACCTTCTCGGAGATCGACTGCCCGCTCCTTTCAGGTCCATCTGCTTCCGGGTCACGCCCGCCTGCCAGCGGGAGCCTCAGCGGGCGGCCGTGGCAGCACGTCCGCTTCCCGGTTATATATATATATAAAACACGAATCAGGTTTTGTTTCCCCGACACTGTGTATTGTGAGCGCGGTTCCCCTCGGGGACCCCTTAGACGAGACACCGCCCTCCCCGCCCCTCCGGTCCGTCAAAACTGGCGAAAGGAACCACCGCAGGCGCTGCGTTTCCATTTGGCCGGGCCCTGCTCACGTTTGCTTTTCAGGGGTCCTTCCTGCCCGCACGTCCTACACACCCGCCGCAGGGGGTGGGCGTGGGGGGCTGTGTCCGCCCTCAGGGCACGGCCGAGCCACCTCGCAAGACTTGCACTTTCTCCGGAACCGACGTGATGACGCAGCTGGGGCGGGGCGAGTGGTGGCCACGCCTCCCCAGCAGCCTGGCCCCGCCCCGCTTCCAACAGGACCGGCCTGGCCTGACCTCTTCGGTGCTGACCTCCCCAAAGAGATGCCTTACTGGTTTTGTATAACCGTGTTCATCTCCACGCGTGCCATGCCTGCCTGGGGGTTCGTTTGGGATTTTTTTTTTTCTGGGAGGGTGGGGGATTGGTTTGGTTTGGTTTTTCCCCTCCCATCAAAGCAAACAGGGCTAAAAAGTCATCTTTTTATTAGGAGAACTCAATTTGCTGTAATTATTCTCATCTGAAAAGCCTCAGTGGTGGTGTGAATGTGTGACTGTGGGCAAACCGGAAAAAACAAACCCATTTGGGGTTCCCACCAGCCTCCAGTCAGCCACCAGGCTGGCATCATGAGCCATCCAATTCGGGCCAAGGCCGACTTCCCTCCCGCAGACGGCACCGCCCCCTGGGGAACCCCACTTCATCCATGTCTTCAGCATACTGGCATTTCCTTTCCTACGTGGTAAACCGTGGCGTTTGTTTCTGGTTGACAGAGAGGCCCTTGTTGGAGCCCCGTGAGGTTTTCTAGGTGAGCGATCGGGGGGTGTTCAACGCCACCTTTGGCATTGCCATCTCTGAGGGCAGGACTCTTTCTTTATCTCCTTTCGCAAGTGGCCTGCATGCAGCTGCTCAGTCATCTGGGGCAACACCTCTCTCTGCCTCTTGGAAAGGAAAGGGGGAAGGTGTCGCAGCAGCTGGGGAGAGCAAAGCCTTGCCTTTCCGTCCCCGCTCTGGTCTCACTGAGCCCAGGCTGTTCAGCTGAACCTCAGTCCTCAACCGCGTGTGTCTGGTTCTGTTCTTGTCATTGGTGAAACTTTTCAACTATCGACTTAGCCTGTGACCAGGGGGCGTGGGGGGAGGGGCGGCAAGCATTGAGCCTCTGGTGAAAGAGTGGCCCTTCTCAGACAGTTCCTCCCCCCTCCCCCTGACCATGACCTTATACCCTCATACTGTGAATCTGGGAGGAGGTGAAGTGGACTTCTCCCGGTGGGCAGTTTTCCAAGTCACCTTGAGTAGACAACACCTGCCAATCTTGTTTCAAACACCCCACCCCACCCCCCCACACACACCCTTGGGACACCCTCTTCCTCTTCTCCCATCTGCCACAATGCTCCTGGGCTCACACCCGAGAGCTCTGTGCCTGGTGCGGTCCGATTGGTGAGTGGCCGTTCCAAGCAGCACTACCCTGGCCAGGTGCCACAACTCGGGTCCTTCCTAAAGTTTTGGGAAGCAGGGTTGTCTGCTATGCACATTTCTTCCTTTGAGCATATTTCCCTTTGTGTCACTCACCATCGACAAAGTGACTTTGTGCTCACTTAGGGCTCTGTCCAAAATGCTTCCATTTTGCCTTTTTCTACAGTTAGGCTGATTTTGAAATGTATGAAATTCTATGCAACATTTTATGTTGAGTTACCAATGGAAGCCAAAAGTTTTCTTTCCAAACTGCTAAGAAGCATACCGGCCATAAATAGCTAGGAAGACCTTTTAATTTAAGGTGGGGGTGGGGGGTGGGAGCGGGGACGGGACAAAGGAAAGGGCGCATCTAGACCTTGGTTAGACCTTGGGGACGTTTTCAAAGATTTTGTTGTTGATGCTTCAACGTCAAGGTTCTGTGTATTCAATTTTTTTGTGTGTGATCATGGCGAATCTGCTTCGAGAGAAAAAAAATCCAACTGTGGATATTGAATGGAAGGTTTGCTTTTTTGACCTAGTTACTTCCAGTGGAGCGGTTTATGAAATATGTTCTATAAGATGTACATTTTTCTCATTGTAACATAGAAATTGTAAATAATTGATTAAAGTGCTGCATTTTGATGAATTTTTTCTAGCCATTTTTAAAGAGAAAACTAGGAATTGAGTATTTTGTGTACGGTATGTTTCATCCTTCCTCCCGCCCTTCTCTCCCTCCCTATTTAATTTTCGTTTGTCATGAGGTTTTGAACTTGCCGATAATCTGTTGGAGATCACGCCCCACATCATAGAGAATAAACCTGATTGTACCAGTCTTAAATTATTCATGATTCAATAAAATTGATGCTTATTTATTCAGATTAGTGGTGTGGCTTGTCTGTGCAAGAGCAAATCCCCACTGGAGTTCATGTTTCTGCCAAGAAGTCACTCTTGTCTCATGGCAGCAAACACTCTCAGATGCTTGCACACCCATCCTGGCCACTGCTGCCATTAAGAGCCACTTGTCCATTTTCCCCTCAAAGTGGCAACTGCTGGTGTGGAACTGAGGAAGCCTGCAGGATTTCCAGCTCCTCTCAAACCCTGTGAATCGCTGGGGCTGTGGAGAGCTACAGATTCTTGTTCAGTAGATCTGGGATGGGACACGAGAGTCTCAGCTTGTCAAGCTCCCTGACTTTATCGATGCTCTGGTCCCTGGACACTGTCATCAAGCGATGTGTGCCCATCATCGGTCCCCACTTAGCCTCTTGTCAGGACAGATTTTTTTTTTTTTAAGGTACTGAAAACCTACCAAATTCCAAATGCTTTCCCAAGATCTCTAATCCTCACTTTGACCCGAAGCACACTAAAACCAACCGCCATTAAATTGACTCTGACCCATGGCGACCCTACCGAATGGAGGAGAGCTACTCCTCTGGGTGTCTGAGGTTGTAAACCTTTACAGGAACAGAAAACCTCATCTGTCTCCTAAGCAATATGCCCCTAGAGAGGTCAATTTTCTTATTCCCACTCTGTATGTAGGAAAAACAAACGTCTCAGAGAAAAAGCAACCCGCCAAGGATCCTAGAAAAGATGCGAGAGGTGGCCTTTAGCCTTATTCAGCCCGCTTGTGAACTGGACGGCCTCATTCCCCACTGCAGCCTACATCCATAGCAGAGAGAGAGCTCAGGAGCAGGCACCACAATGTTATCCTTTATTTTTAACAGCAACCACAAACAATGGTAAAGCTTAATTTGAAATCAAGCCTTGTGCCACTCGCTGTGAAATGGATCCTTCCTCCGGCCCCGCTGCCTGAGCCAGGATAGATCCAACTTATCAGGGCAAAATTGGGGAACTCCAGAGTCCGCTGTGTTAGGGTGGTATTTTTGAAGACCTGACAGGAAAGGAAGGGGAGGCGGTGCAGCGGGTGGGCATCTCCCCAAAGCCAAGCTCACTGCCATCGGGTCGATTCCGACGTGGTGGGAATGAGCGGAATGCTTCCTAGGTTTCTGAGCCGGTAAGTCTGGGGAGCAGTCGGTAGACTCAAACTGCTGACCTTGTGGTTAAGCAGCCCAACTAGAGCCCAGTATGACACCACCCAGATATCTTCAATTTGCTTATCAACTACTCTATCCCATTTCTAGACGATGTGTTTTGACATGATCTAGGAATTAGCCTATAGGAAGGGTACAATGGACCAGATGTTCTTTGGTTTTATTACTGTGGTAAAATGACACAGCATAAAAGTTTGCCATCAGGTGTAGAATCTGTCCGAATCCCTGCTTTCGGCTCTCTGGGGTCTATACTTAGGAGTAGAATTGCTGCAGCTATCACACCATCTTTATCTTCTTCCCACTAAACAGCGGAGGATCCGTCTTTCCCCACATCAGCACTTACTTTGATGGCACTCATCCTTGTGGATCTGGGACCTCATTGTGGTTTTGATTGGCACTTCCCGAATGACTGATGATGTTAAGCATCGGTTCATATACTTAGTGCCCGTTTCAGTATCTTCTGTTCAGAAATGTCTAAACCCTTTGCCCATTTTTCCCCCCTGTGGGTGAGGGGTTGGATTGTCTTTGTCATGGGGTTGTAGGAATTATTTGTATATTCTGGACATTAAGCCTATAAAATATGTCATTTGCAAGTATGTTCTCCCATTCTTTTTTTTATAGGTGTTTCCTTTTTTTTTAATCGCTTCATTAGGGGCTCATACAATTCTTATCACAATCCATACACACATCAATTGTGTAAAGCGCATTTGTACATTCATTGCCGTCATCATTTTCAAAACATTTCCTCTCCACTTAAGCACCCAGCATTAGGTCCTCATTTTTCCCCTCCCTCCCTGTTCCCCCCTCCCTCATGAGCCCTTGATAATTTATAAATTATTATTTTGTCATATCTTGCCCTGTCCGACATCTCCCTTCACCCACTTTTCTGTTGTCCGTCCCCCAGGGAGGAGGTCACATATAGTTCCTTGTAATCGGTTCCCTCTTTCCTACCCACTCTCCCTCTACCCTCCCAGTATCACCACTCACACCACTGGTCCTGTAGGGATCATCTGCCCTGGATTCCCTGTGTTTCCAGTTCCTATCGGTACCAAATTCTACCTTGCAAGTCTGGCTAGACCAGAGGATGTGCACTGGTACAGATAGGGTCTCCCATTCTTTAAGTTGTCTTTATTTTCATTTTCCTGAGAATAATCATTTGGTGCCCAAAAGGGATTTTTGGTTTTCCATTTTGGTGAGGTCTAATATATGTTGTTTGTGCTTTCTGTGTCCTATCTGAGAGTCCATCATGCCCCCCCCCCCCAAATATCCTTAGTGTTTTAGGAGGCATCTGATTTTAGCTCTTTTATTTAGGATATTACATCTTTTTGAGTCAATTTTCACATACGGTGTGCAGAAGAGGCTCAATTTCATTCTCCTGCATGTGAACCTCCACTGTGCCCCAGTGCTGTTTGTGGTTGAGTGATCTGGGTGACCTCAGGGGAAAGGACGGACAGAGCTATGCCTTTAGGTGTGTTCTGGGTGGCAGGCATTATGCTAAGCTTCATTTCATCACATGTAACCATCGCTCCTCTAAGGTGGATTTTTTCATCTCTATTTTACTGTTTCTACAGCCTCTTTGCTGCAGAAACAGTATCTCTATTTTCATCTCTATTTTACTGTTTCTACCCCTTTTGCTGCATCGTGCGACCGACAACTTAGGTTGGAATTTGAGGGCAAAATAGCATCCCTTCTATATTATCCTCTCTGGCAAAGCAAATCACCTCCTCACCCCCACATTTGTTATCTCACGGTTTCTCTGTGTCAGGAAGCCAGGCAAGCTTTAACTGGGTGCTCTGGCTCTGACTTCCTCGCCAGGTGTCTTAAATACATACTCATGAGAAATATTTAAATATAAGGAACATGGTACTTAATGCTGAGCTGCTGACGTCTCCCTTTCTTATGACAAGAAACGCACAGGTGCCTCCTGTCACTACCCAACATCATCGTTAAGACTCTCATCCAATTCTAAGCAGAAAGATAGGAAAATCAATTGGGTAAGGGTTGAAAATAATAAAATTAGGCTATGTTTACCCATAAACCAGAACCAAACCCACTACCATATAGGACCAGGATAGAACAGCCAGCCCTTGTGGGTTTCTGGGGCTATAAATCTTTATACAGCCTCATCTTACAGAGCAGGTGGTGGGTGTGAACCACTGACCTTGTGGTTAGCAGTCTAATGCAGAACCCACTGTGCTACTAGAGTCTCCACTCACAGGTAGAATTATACACTGGAATAATCTCAAAGAATGCAGAGATGAATTATTAGACATGATACGTGCATTTAGCAAGTTTTCTGGATATGAAATCAGTACATCAAACATCAGCACATGCAACAGACGATGCGCGGGCCCTTTGCACAGAAACCTCGAGAGCATTAAGCATGGAGGTAGTTGCTCAACTCTAAAAGGAAAGAGATCAGGGCTCTGAACTGTACCTCTAGGAATTGTTGAATTGGTGCACATCTGCTGTGGACATTCTCCCAACACACATAAACTGTAAAAAACAAAGCAGAATTCTTTGTGAGAGAAAGAAGTGTTCAAAGAGTCATTTTCAAAAACTCATCGCCTGACGTGGATTCCGATCTATGGCATTTACGGATGCGATCAGAGAAGACGTGCATCTGGCCTGAGTAGGGATTCACCTTCAACAGAGAGAAGTGCAACTCCTTACGACTTGAAAAGCAGGGCCATCGCGATCACCACAGACAGCCTCCATGTCCTCAGGGATTGTATCTGACTCGGCTCCACAGTCCGCATCCATGGAAGCAGCCGCCAAGCAATCAATAGGATACGTTGCATGGGATTGAAAAGACCACATCGATGTGTTCAAAGCAGAGAGCGCATTAGGGGGACCAGCGACTGGGGCCACCAAACCCAAGCCAGACTGCCCCACTTGCATGGAAAAGTCAGACAGTGAATGGAAAAGGAAGACCGAAGAACTAATGCCTTTGAATCATGATGTTGGCCAAGAATCTTGGATAGACCACGGACTGCCGCAGAGTAAGGCCGAGTGGGCTACACGTTAGACTGCATGGTGGGCTGCTGACTGCCAGGTCACCAGTTGGAAGCCACGAGCCGCTCTGCAGGAGAAAGGAGGCTTTCTCCTCCCAGGAAAGTGACGGCGGTGGAACCCCCAGGGGCAGTTCTGCTCTGCCCTTGACCGTCACCATGCGATGGAACGGACTCGATGACGGCGAGGTTTTGGGTTTGGGTTTTGTGCTCTTAGTGGCCAGGAGAGCGACCTCTCTTGGAAGAAGAATAGCCAGAATGCTG